AATAAAACATAATAAAATAATTCTCACGACGTTTCGGCCACAACGCAAACAGCCGTCCTCAGGTGGAGAGCAGGTCTCCTCGTTGTGGCCGAAACGTCGTGAGAATTATTTTATTATGTTTTATTTTTATTATTTTATTAATTCCATTCTACGTGACTTTACCGAAAGAACCAAGAAGATGAATCCCTGCAGTCACGAAAGCTTTAAATCGAAATTTAATGCCCAAACTTGATCAAACTGAACCCTGTCCTCCCGTAATCTTGAACCGTGACCCTTGTACGTCTGTCCATAATGAACCCTAATACGTCTCTGACCACATGTTAAGCCCTAATGCAGCAATCCCTAGCGGTGTCTGCTCGATACAACACCGGTGACGATTATCTGAACCGGTCTTGGGCCTCCCCTAGGTCGACTCAGCCTCAAACGAGTACCTGGTGCGGTGTGTAGTAAATATCGCCACTGGGGAGACAAAGGCGGCCGGGCGTGGTGTTGGCCACCCACCCCCTCGTGTACCGTTCCAGCCTTCATAGGTGCTCGCTAACAGCACTTGCCCCTACAGCCTGTTAAGGCTATACGGGGGATCTTTGTCTTTGTTATTGAGTGTATGTGAATGGTGAGTGTGTGCGTGTGGTGAGTGTGATAGATGAAGCCGGTGAGTGTGTTGGTGAACATTGACGTGGAGGATGTGGTGGTGGTGTTGGTGTTGTTGTTCGTATGAGGTCACATGCGCTCGGAAGGGAGGAGGTGTTCGCTAACAGCACTTGCCCCGACAGTCTGTTAAGGCTACACGGGGGATCTTTGTCTTTGTGTGTGTGTGCTTGCTAACATTACTTGCCCCAAAAGTCTATTAAGGCTATACGGGGGATCTTTGATGTGCGTACGGTGATGATGCAATGCAGCCTATGGACCGAATCACCCGGAATTCATCTCATCCCGTCAGCACGTTAGATGCTAAACAGGCTTGAGCCAGGGTCGTGCTAAGGTCGGTCACCACGTCCAAGGCTTGCCAGGTGCTGTCGGCTTGGGTTGCGAATTGATGCGAAAGTACGAGGTGCTGATTGCCACCAAACCAGGTACTCGTTTAAGTCCCAGTCGACCTAGGGGAAGCCCAGAACGGGCTCGGAGCACATTGTGCCAACCACTGCGCCGCCGCTCCCAAGAATGCAACTCTCTGACAGATGTTCACCCAGCCACCGTCTCTGTGTGGCTCTCTCTGCTCTGCGGGCGCTCCTTGGCACGCACGCTTCAGACAAAGATGCCCCTTTACGACAGCCGTACAGAGACCATTGAAGAAAGCGCCTTCAGCGAGCACATACTGCGGCCGAAACAGCGCGGTGGGTGGCCAGCACCACGCCCGACCACCTTTGTCTCCCCAGCGGCAATGTTTACACAACGCACCAGGTTTACTCATTTAAGGCTGATTTGGCAACAACAACAACCACCGCCGTTCATGACAGACCCAGGCGCCTTGGGTTTTACTGAACTTGAGATGAGTGGCACGCTCGCACCGCGGGCCCCCTGCGATTACGCAGCGCGGCCACGAGGTGGCGGCGTAGCCTCGTTTGCAACGAAAAGCTTTCGGGCAAGCGTCTCCGCTTCAGTCTCGCGTTTATTAGTCGGTGTAAAGGTACAGGAGGGAACACGTGCGCTGTCGGAGTCGCGTAACGTCAATGTGCAGGAGGCAGCGTGCCGGTAATTCCCACTCCCCACAAGCCGCCCCCCCCCCACTCATCCGCACCACTCGAACCTCTGCAGGCTGCTCACGAACCCACGGACCCCTCGTTAAGGCGAGGGGTTTCTCCGGACACTCTGGTATTTTCTTTTCAGGTGAACAAGGAGTAAAACACTCCTGGAATTGGCCAAACACGCTGGCTTTCCCGTGGCCCGTGTCCATTTCTCTTCACGCGCAAACCAGCCGTGCGAGTTTCTGACGGGCCCCGAGCGAGTTCTGGAAATTCCACATTCCTATGACACGAAACAATACTCTATATCCACTGGACAATGAATGTTGGTTTCCCACAAAGCGGAACTGAACGCGACGTGCCTGGCTTGTCGCTGTGCAGCATCGGGGAGCGCGCTGCGGGCAACGCAGAACACCCGCTGGTGTTGTACTGTACTGTGCTATGCTCCCCGACTGCAGCAACCCGCACTGCCCAGCGTGGTCAATGGGAGTCGGTCAACACAAGCCGCACGAGCCGCACGGCGTGGCGATGCCCTCATCCAGCAGTGGACTGACAGGGGAGCGCTGCTCTCGCTCCGTTCGGCAGACGCGAACAGAGGGCACCGCTTGAGGATTTTGGACCACGGCGCATGCAGCGTTTGAAAAAGCCCCGCTGCAACAACGAACAAAGAGGAGATACGTCTGATTGAACAGAAGTGACGCGACCACGTCAACAAGTAGGAGGCGATTGATCTCTCCGAGGGCGACAAGGGCACGCGGGGCGATTCTGTGATTTCGGATCGGGCAATCAGCGCGACTCCCCGACCCCCGGCCACGTGTTTCCGTGCTGCACCGCGCAGATCGTGTTGTTGTTGTTGTTGTTCGGCCCTGTGTCCGACGTTTCGCATCCACACGCTGGAAACTGAGATGCTACGCAGAGCGTAATACGGTAAGCCACGAGGGATGCCACCGACATAAACAACATACGACCCTAGACATCATCGTCGTGGAGAGGAGTGCATCTCTTATCCCGTGCCCGACTGTCCTTGATCAGCAGCGATCGCACCATGAGAAACTGAAGAAGCTACCAGCACGTTAAGCGAAACGTCGGACGTCATGGCGACCAACGTGTGCGCTACAACCCGTCCGACGTTTTAGCGGTTACCCTTGACGACGAGTCCTGCCTATTCACAGTTCCAAGTGAGCCGCTCCGAGTCGGTGCTCCGGTCTGGATCGTGTCGATGGACGAGTGGTCGTCGCGAATAGGTTTCGTGCGCGGGTGCCATCGCGCGCGTCCTGCCGGCTCCGGGATGGATGTGCCACGCTCCTCTTGTAAACAGGCGTTGAGCTTCATTGAGTAATTACCTCGCCCCCCCCCACCCCCCGCTAAGCTCAGCGCGCTGACCATCGTCAGCGTCACGTCGTAGCTGCGCGTAGCACGTGTTGTACCTTCAGACGGCACAGCGTGATATATAAAATATATATTTATATATTTTGTAAAAAAAACAGATAACACGAGACAAAATCACCACCGCCATCATCATCGTCGTTCATCATCATCACAAAAGGGAATACAGTATACATCTTATCCCGTACTTTACCACCCTCGACTTCTAGGACACCCTTAACCTTTGCTGACGAGGTTCGCTCGTGCGTCTGGGGACCGGCATCTGGAATGTTCGAGTTCACGGGTCCCCCGAACGCCTTCCCGCTGCTCACGATCACCCCACAACAATGAGCAGGGGCCACCAACATCCGCTGTTTTATGAACAAACAACATCAGTGTCGTTTCTGCAACGTCCACTCGTGCTCTCTGGCCGCACCGTGAAGGAGGCCTGTTTGCCTATAACCGTCGCCTTTTATACAAAAACAGCTTTTCTTTCAAAGGCAGTGCTTGTGGCGAATGTGGCGAGTTTGATTTTTGGTATCAGCAGCAGACCCGCGGGGCTCGCTTTCCGCGGCCCAAAGGCTGGAACCAAAGTGGTGCCCCTTCCTCCCCCCACCTCCCCCTCCCGCCCCCCACCTCCCCACGATGGCTTCAGAATCAGCGACCGCGGGGCGATGCGAGTGAGACTCGTGGCGACGAGCCTTTGACTCGGGACTCCTCCTTGCTCCGATCCAGCGATTCTCATAAACGCCAGTCGTTGCGACCCACCACGACTCACCCCTTTCCGCGGTTGCCAATATCCCGTCCAAAGACACATTGAATCGGCGGCAGGGTTGCGATTTCCGCATGGAAAATGCGGAAGGAGGGTTCAAATTTTCCCGCATTTTTGCTAAAGTCAACCGCAAACGGTGGAAAGACTACTCCTATGACCGCGCGCTTTTAACAACACGTTAATGCGTTCTATTGGAAAGGATACATGCAAGGCCCAGCATCACGTAGGGCTTTGAGTTACTGATTGGAATGAATATATGATTTCCGCATTTCCGCACAAGAACCACATACTTTATTCAAATGCGGAGCCGTGATTACGAGCACATGTACATGATGTATCCTTTCCAATAGAACGCATTAACGTGTTGTTAAAAGCGCGCGGTCATAGGAGTAGTCTTTCCACCGTTTGCGGTTGACTTTAGCAAAAATGCGGGAAAATTTGAACCCTCCTTCCGCATTTTCCATGCGGAAATCGCAACCCTGATCGGCGGTGACGCGCTGCACGCGCCGGATGATTGCTATACCCGGCTCCTGTGACGTGATAGAATGCCAATTGAAGCACATTAGGAACGATCTCTGCACCACCTGAGACGGGCGTACACACGCGCGTGAGCTCCGTTTTAATTGGAGTCAGCGCGTAACCGTAAATTACTTAATTACCGGCAGACTAATGCCCGTTTCCAGGTCTGGTGCCGAGTCGCCTTGTGGTGCACAGGGACAGCTGCCAATGGGGGTTCCCTTTTAAATGTGTTGAGAGGAACCGAGACGCCCCGGCGTATACCAGGAGGGCGCTATTTTACTCCATGCGATCTCTCCTAATTAACGCTGTTTTTTACGCCACGCGGGGGGTGGGGGCGGGCATGTTTAGAGATCATCAGGCGCGTACGGCGCGTTACGACTCAGATGGTAGATCATGGAGCAACATCGGCAATCGTGGAGAGGCGGATCACGGGGCTGTTCTCGAGGCCTGGGACCTTGACCGTCGGTCACCAGGCTGTGCTGTCAAGACAATTATTGTACTTTTTTTGTAATTAGCATCCAAGCCACTGCCTGTCCAGGAGTTCCCAAACCCGTCCAGATTGACGGTGCGGAGGCCCGAACAAATGTGTACAGTATATATATGAGAACAAAAAAATATATACATTTTTAATACGTGTGAAAAACATCTCGCTGTAAATCAAATCTCAGAAGAGCTATTTAATAGAAACGCTCAATTGCAACAGCCTCTTCGCCCACTGGGGACGTTTCCCGGACTCGTTTCGTATCGTCTCGTTTGCATTTTTCTCTGTAAATCAAGTCTCACCGGGGACTCGTCCGCTTGCACGAGAACTGTATACTACGTAGCATCAGCAAAGACATCCGCATACATTCTAAACACTGCACGCTCTTTAAGACATTCTACACTCGCGCCATTCGGTTCCACGTATCTCGCGAATCGATTCCAATCGATCAATTGCCACATCGTGAACGTGCCTAAGAATGATCGTGTTCTCTGCATTACAAGAGTCGCCGACAAAAAAGTGAGACGCACTCCAAACCTGTGTCCCTCGGTGCCATTACCGTTCCACAAACATCGTCTTACACACAGCTACCGTATTACAAGACGCACCCCAGCGTTTGCTTTCAAATACAGGGGGGGGGTCTTTATACTGTAGAGAATACGGTAATCATCATACGCCACAGTCCCCCACCACAGCGTTTGCTTTCAAATACAGGGGCGGGGGGTCTGTATACTGTAGAGAATACGGTAATCATCATACGCCACGGTCCCCCACCACAGCGTTTGCTTTCAAATACAGGGGCGGGGGGTCTGTATACTGTAGAGAATACGGTAATCATCATACGCCACGGTCCCCCACCACTGCGTTTGCTTTCAAATACAGGGGGGGGGGGGTCTGTATACTGTAGAGAATACGGTAATCATCATACGCCACGGTCCCCCACCACAGCGTTTGCTTTCAAATACAGGGGGGGGGTCTGTATACTGTAGAGAATACGGTAATCATCATACGCCACGGTCCCCCACCACAGCGTTTGCTTTCAAATACAGGGGGGGGGGTCTGTATACTGTAGAGAATACGGTAATCATCATACGCCACGGTCCCCCACCACAGCGTTTGCTTTCAAATACAGGGGCGGGGGGTCTGTATACTGTAGAGAATACGGTAATCATCATACGCCACGGCCCCCCACCACAGCGTTTGCTTTCAAATACGGGGGGGGGGGTCTTTTTACTGTAGATAATACGGTAATCATCATACGCCACAGTCCCCCACCACAGCGTTTGCTTTCAAAATACAGGGTGGGGGGGTCTTTATACTGTAGAGAATACGGTAATCATCATACGCCACGGTCCCCCACCACAGCGTTTGCTTTCAAATACAGGGGGGGGGGGGTCTTTATACTGTAGAGAATACGGTAATCATAATACGCCACAGTCTCCCACCACAGCGTTTGCTTTCAAATACAGGGGGGGGGTCTGTATACTGTAGAGAATACGGTAATCATCATACGCCACAGTCCCCCACCACAGCCTTTGCTTTCAAATACAGGGGGGGGGGGGTCTTTATACTGTAGAGAATACGGTAATCATCATACGCCACAGTCCCCCACCACAGCGTTTGCTTTCAAATACAGGGGCGGGGGGTCTGTATACTGTAGAGAATACGGTAATCATCATACGCCACGGTCCCCCACCACTGCGTTTGCTTTCAAATACAGGGGGGGGGGGTCTGTATACTGTAGAGAATACGGTAATCATCATACGCCACGGTCCCCTACCACAGCCTTTGCTTTCAAATACAGGGGGGGGGTCTTTATACTGTAGAGAATACGGTAATCATCATACGCCACGGCCCCCCACCACTATCCCGTCCGTCTTCCAGTCGTCAGGCGAAACGGCGTCAGCCCCGCTGACTCAGCACGCGCCCCTAGAATCGGTGCGCTATCTCCTCCGCACGGATGACTAATTCACTCCAATCAGCACGAGACTCCTCATTGCCGCCATCATTCATCAATAAAGATTATGACCCCCCCCCCCACCTCTCTCCCTCCCCGCTTGTAAGCAAATTAAGCGTACACTACATAACGTATTACATAGAAAACAAACGCGCACACGCACTGCACGAACAGGTCAGAAGTTTGGCCTTTGGAATGCGTTCTCCCTTTTAGCTTTACAAACAGACGGCGACGCGTGATTGTGATTGTTACAGCAAATAATCACCGGCCATGTTCAATCCACCGCTGGATGAACGCCTCCCCCGAGCTGCCGTCCCCACCTCTCACGATCCGGCGATGTAACAATCCACCGAGAGAAACCCACAACGGAGGAGGGGAGGAGGGGGGGCGGGATTTCATCGCTCCATCTCCTCCCCGGTGGTAGAACCTCACTGACGCGTTTCATCCCTCGGCTGCCACTCCGTCACGCGTCTCGACCGCCGGCCCTGACTTTGAGCGAGGAGGCGCTTTGCCCCCCCTCCCCCACCACACTTCTCAATAATTCGTCTCCATTATAAAACAACACCACCGCGCCATCATCATCACCACCACACATCCAGGCAAAGGCTTCATTTCTCATGAAATATTTTCCGCAGCTCAGCCCCAGCTGAAACTAAGAAGCCCTGCTGCACTCGACTCGTGTAAACGCGACACCCCCCCCCCCCCCGTGTACCCCCCCCCCCTCTCCTCGCTAGAGCGCCAGCAGCGTTCGCGACCCGAGCGCGCCCGCCGCCGCTTCGCCCCGACCGGCGCTCCTCAGGCTGCCCTGGCCGCCACCCGCGCTGCCGCGCCGGTAGGAGGTGGCGCACGAGTGGGACTCCCCGCCCGGGTGCTCGGGCGAGGAGAGACGCGACGCGCGGTTCCTCGCCACCTCATCCGCAAGTTCCGTGGGCTCCAGCTTCACGGCGACGAGGGGGGTCGGGTCGGGACCCCGGGGGGTATCCCCTCGCCGCCGCCGCCGCTCCTGCTGCCGCTGCTCTTCCAGGAGGTCCTGGGGGTCTCCTGCAGGAGTCGGGGAGCCGTCGGGTTCCTCGGTGGAGGGGGGCAGGCGGCAGAGCGCGCGGTGTGCGCTGAGGACGCTCTCCAGGTCCTCGCGCTCCTTCTGCAGGAGGCGGATGTCGGACTGCAGCGCCGAGCGCTCCTCCTCCAGCTTGTCGGCCTCCTGCGAGGGGGCACAGGGACCCCCCCAACTCAGTGAGCTCCGCGGTGGAGCACGCGACAGCATGTAGGGGAGTGTAGAGATGCAGTAGGGAGCGCACGGTGTAGGAAGTGTACGGTGTAGGGAGTGCTGGGAGCAGGGTGTAGGCAGTGCAGGGAACAGGGTGTAGGGAGTGCAGGGTGTGAGGAGCAGGGTGTATGGAGTACATGGACTAGGGTGTAGGGAGCAGGGTGTATGGAGTGCATGGACTAGGGTGTAGGGAGCAGGGTGTAGGGAGTGCATGGACTAGGGTGTAGGGAGCAGGGTGTCGTGAGTGCATGGACTAGGGTGTGAGGAGCAGGGTGTAGCGAGTGCATGGACTAGGGTGTAGGGTGCAGGGTGTAGGCAGTGCATGGAGTAGGGTGTAAGGAACAGGGTGTAGTGAGTGCATGGACTAGGGTGTAGGGAGCAGGGTGTAGGGAGTGCAGGGTGTAGGGAGCAGGGTTTAGGCAGTGCAGGGAGCAGGGGTTGACTTACCGCCTGCAAGGTGTCCGTGAGCTCACGACGCCGATGTCGACATTTCGCCGCCGCTTGTTTGTTCCGCTCCCTCCGCACTCTCCGCTTCTCGTCCTCCTCGGGGTTGAGCTGGGCAGGCGAAGGCAGAGGGTTGAAGGAGAAGGGTGAGTGTTAGGGTGAGTGTTAGGGTGAGGGGTAAGGGTTGAGGTGTGGGGTCGTGCGAGTGTGACGTCTGTCACGCGAGTGATAGCGTTCTAGCAAGGGTGGTGGTGGATGGGGACCCCCCGGTGGCCCTTTCCTAGGGGGCGGGAGAGGGGCGCGCTGCCCGAGTGGGCAGCGGCAATGCGCAGCAAACAGTCGAATCTGGCGACTAATTTTTTTTGGTGGGTCGGTGTCGGCGCCGCAGTACGGAAGCAGAGGGCGAGGAGTGAGGGAGAGTTTGTGTGTGGTTATTGAGTATTCCCGCTCACGGCCAACACCAGTGACGATTATCTGAACCGGTCCTGTGCCTCCCCTAGGTCGACTCAGCCTGAAATGAGTACCTGGTGCGGTGTGTAAACATCGCCACTAGGGAGACAAAGGCGGTCGGGCGTGGTGATGGCCAACCACCCCCTCGTGTACCGTTCCAGCCTTCATAGCTGCTCGCTAACAGCGCTTGCTCATACAGTCTGTTAAGGCTATACGGGGGATCTTTGTCTTTGTTATTGAGTGTATGTGAATGGTGAGTGTGTGCGTGTGGTGAGTGTGATAGATGAAGCCGGTGAGTGTGTTGGTGAACATTGACGTGGAGGATGTGGTGGTGGTGTTGGTGGTGTTGTTGTTCGTATGAGGTCACAGGTGCTCGGAAGGGAGGAGGTGATGCAAGACTCCAGAGATTCCAGTAACACCGCAGGAGGCTCCCTCCCCTCTCGTTGCACAAACACCCACGCTGCCATTGCGCAACCCCCGGTCAGTGTTGTGCAACCCCCTCCACGTGCCAGCAATCTTCTCACATCACGTGGCGGGTTGGTCACGCGCGCGTTTATAAAACATCGAGGACTACCCAATGTACCCAATGTGGCGCGTAACGATGCATCGATGAATCTACATTTATGACAGTTGTTGCAAACGGTCGCATCGCAGGATCGCGAGATGGCAGTGCCTCGGGGAGGCCTTCATCCAGTAGTGGATTGACCATGGCTGATGATGAGGCTCTGTCACTGGTATTATGTCACGGGACGGAAGAATCGATTGCAGAACTCTCGCAGAGCAGCGCAACCCGCTCGAGTTAGCAAACGTACCGCGGAAGTGGACATCACAGAGCTACTTCTGGGAAACACATAACGCGGCGACGTCTTGGCGATTGGGTAATATCACGGACAAAAAACTAAACGGTAACAATTACACAAAAAATTACACCGATTACTAAATAGAATCGTGGGACGGCGGGACAGGGAGGGATTGAGCGCATTGTCACATCTCTATTATTCAAGCAGCAGACAGCATTGTCCCACACTCACCTCCTCTGCGGGCCTCTTTCTCCGCGTGGGCGCCGAGGCCACGATGCGGATGACGCCCGGACGCGATGGAACCCCCTGCAGAGCGTGTTGCAGCTGCTGTTGCTGCTGATGATGATGAGGCTGATGATGATGAAGCTGCTGATGTTGACGAGGCTGATGATGCGCGTAGCCCATGGGGGGCCCGGGGGGCCGCGCCGCGGAGGTGATGACGCTGGGCTGGACCATCCAGCGGAGGTCGGGGCTGCTCGCCACGGCGGTGAGGGTCGGCACGAAGGGCAGCGAGAAGTCCTAGAGGGAGATGAGGAACAATTGTCTTTGTGAGTTCCACGCTGACTTGTCTCGCCAGCGTCTCTGCTGGTAACTCCACAGGACTATTCACGCACCATCTAAAACAAGGAACTTTAGTCGCGCCGTATTTTTAACGGCCAAATAAATGAAAAAAAAAACTCAATAATTTTAAAGACGGGTCACCACACAATTCACTGTCCATTGGCCACCACCTCCCACCACCTCCCACCACCACCACCGCCACCACCTCCCGCCACCGCCACCACCTCCCACCACCGCCACCACCTCCCACCACCGCCACCACCTCCCACCACCTCCCACCACCTCCCGCCACCACCTCCCACCATCTACCACCACCGCCACCACCTCCCACCACCGCCACCACCTCCCACCACCTCCCACCACCACCACCACCTCCCGCCACCGCCACCACCTCCCACCACCTCCCACCACCACCGCCACCACCTCCCGCTACCGCCACCACCTCCCACCACCGCCACCACCTCCCATCACCGCCACCACATCCCACCACCTCCCACCACCTCCCGCCACCACCTCCCACCATCTACCACCACCGCCACCACCTCCCACCACCGCCACCACATCCCACCACCTCCCACCACCGCCACCACCTCCCACCACCGCCACCACCTCCCACCACCTCCCACCACCACCACCCGCCACCGCCACCACCTCCCACCACCTCCCACCACCACCGCCACCACCTCCCGCTACCGCCACCACCTCCCACCACCGCCCCCACCTCCCACGTCTCGCCGTGCGGACCGCAAGGAGTTCTGCCAGAATTCGCAGCAGTCTGCGTTGTGTCCATGTGTCAGTCTGTCTCGACGTGTGGGTGGGGGGGTGCGTGTCTGTGTGTGAATGTGGTAGTTTAGCGCTACGAACCCGGCGACACGAGTTCGATTGCCGCTCACGGCCAACATCAGCGACATTCATCTGAGCCGGTCCTCGCCCTCCTCCCCCCTCCAGGTTATTGAGTATTCCCGCTCACGGCCAACACCGGTGACGATTATCTGAACCGGTCCTGGGCCTCCCCTAGGTCGACTCAGCCTCAAATGAGTACCTGGCGCGGTCTGTAAACATCAGCACGAGGGAGAAATAGGGTGGCCAGGCGTGGTGTGGGTCACCCCCCGTGAGCCATGCCGGCCTTCACAGGTGATCGCTAATGGCACTCGCTCCAAAAGTCTGTCAAGGCTATACGGGGGTTCGTTGCCTTTGTGTATTTACTGATGATTACGTGCAGGGCGTGACGCGACCCACCGCACCCCTCATTACACAACCATTGAGCACGTGCTCACACACATGTACACACAAAGGTCCCCCGTATAGCCTACACGGGCCGTTGGGGCAAGTGCTGTTAGCGAGCACCTATTAAGGCAGGTCGGCACGGCACACGAGCGGATTGGTGATCAGCACCACGGCCGACCGCCTTTGTCTCCCTAGTGCTGTTGTTTACTCACCGCGCCAGGTACTCATTTAAGGCTGAGTCTACATAGGGGAGGTCTAGGACCGGATCAGATATTCGTCACTGATGTTTGTCAGAATCGAACTTGGGTTCCTGGGTTCGTACCGTAGCGCGCCGACCACTGCGCCACCACTCCCCATACACATGCACACACGATCAAAACATGTTTACACTCGCAGACACTCCCACACACTCTTATAAACACACACACATACACACCCTCAACACGTACATCGACATCAAAACACCCAGAGATATGCACAGTAATGAACACAGCAACCGCCATTCGCCACTAAGTGGCGTTGACGTCACCACGGCGCCTGTGCCAGGCTAGGTGCACGTTAAAGCCACGTGAAGTGTCGAACGCCCGCTGGCAGGAGGTCACGGGACAAACCCAGGTGCCACGGGTCGACTGACTGAGATGACTGGCCGATGCACCACCTGTGTCCCCTACTGTGCCTACAGCAGTTGGCACACACATGCACGTCATCACACACACCCCATCCTACAGTTTCCTACACACACAGAACAGACTCCACATCATGCAGCTCACCCCATCACACATCGAATCACAACACACACCCAACACTCACCCCATCACACAACAACCGCCATTCGTTACTAAGTGGCAGTGACGTCACCAAGGCGCTTGTGCCAGGCTAGGTGCACATTGACGCCACGTGAAGTGCGTTCACGGGACAGACCCAGGTGCCATCACACACCCCCAATCACTCACACCATCACAAAAACAAAGATCCCCCGTAAAGTCTTTAACAGTCAGTTGGGATAAGTGCTGTTAGCGAGCACCTACGAAGGCCGGCATGGCACAGGAGGGGATGGGTGCCCAGCACCACGCCCGGCCACCCTTGTTTTCCTCGTGGCGATGTTTACACACCAAAGACAAAGATCCCCCGTGTAGCCTAAAAAAACAGCTTTTTTGCGACGAAGTGCTGTTAGCGAGCACCTATGAAAGACGACACGGCGCACACGAAGATTGTGGCCGACCAGCACCACGCCGGGCCAACCTCCGTGTCCCGAGCGGCGATGTTTGCCCACCGCCCCGCCACTCGCGCGCACGTGGTCCAAGCCGCGACCACAGTCCATTGCGCAAGTCGCTTTATGACATTCCAGAGATGTGCTCGCGGATGTTCGGTCCCGACCCTGAAGCTGCTAGCTGCCAGGACGGGTCCAGTGCGGAGGCGAGGGGTGGTGTGGATAGGAGGCACTCCAGGGGGAGGAGGGGGCTGGTGGGTGGGGGAGATTGTTCTGGTGGCGCCGACCGCAAGGCTCCGTGTGTGTCTAATTGTGACGTCAAGTAAAGTGGGCTGAGAGAGCCTGCCGTGTTCTTTGCCGACGAGCACCCGACAGTTGCGTAACCGCCAGTTCATCACCGTCATCGGACACGTGTCCACCGCGTTGCGCTGTGTGTCCCGGTGCATCTAAGCATCGATTATCAATTAATGATCGATTATTGGACCTCTCGACGAGCTTCGCGTTCGAATCACGTGCTCGAGCAAGAATCGAATGGGTTTTTTTCGTCGCGATGCGAATGTGTTGTATGTAATAGGGTCACGTGATCCCCCAGCCACTGGAGGTCGCTACACTCGCCGCAATGTTATCGATGTTTTAATCGATCACCGTTATCTTGGAGGCGGCGGCCACTGGTGGAATTGCGAACCGGTAACCGCGAGTCACTCCACTGCTGAATGCTTCCACACGCCGTGCGGGTCGTGGGAATTTGACCATACTTCACCACGCCGGTCAGTGCGGGTTGTTGAAGGCGGTGAGACATACACGTGGGGACATAGAAGCACTTCATCGCCATCATCAGCCATCATCAATTAGCTGCTGGGTGAACAGCTCCCCAACGCCGTCGCCACTTCTCACGATCCTGCGTTCACTCCCTCCTGAGAGCTCTTGTCCGATGCCCATCGTCCCCCTCTGGCCGCGAGACGCGTACCCTGCCCTAGCCCCATCAACCCTCGGCTGCCCCCCCCCCACCTCCCCACCACGCGATGGGTAACGGACGCGAATTAATGAACAGTGGCGGCGGCTAGGGCAGAAAGCCTTCATCCAGCGGTGAATCGACCATGGCTGCTGATGAATGAATAATCAGTGCCCCCATGGGCGCCCGGAGTGAGATCGTTATTGAGATTCGCTGGGAGGCGCGGGGGAAGTTGTCATAGGAAGAGGACCCACCTGGGGAGGGGGGGGGGGGTCGGATGCACCTGGTGGAGGTGGGTGGGGGGGCGTCCTTGAGCCGGGTTGCTCACCACCGGGTGAGCGTGGGTGGTGAAGTTTCGCTCAGAGCGGGGTGCAGATCCCGTTCACTCCCCCGCATTCCCTAGGTTCGGTGACCACCCCCCCCACCCAACCCTCCGTCTAATACTGAACACTGATCCTCTTCTCCCACGAGATGAAGTATGTGCATTAGGATTTGGGCTGCGCAGCGCTCCACCGCAGCTACGGCTGACACCCCCCGACGGTAACGCCGCTACACCGCGACACCCTTCGTACTACCCCACTACTCCACCCGGCACCAACCCCCTAATTATCCCAAAACCACATCACCACACCCCTGCACCACGCTTCGCATTGCACCACGCTCCACATAAGCACACCCACACTACCCCGACAGCTAACCCAGTCCATCAGGCTCCGCACTAAACCGCACACCACTCGACACCACGAGCACACCACCACCACCACAACCACCACATCAAACTACCGCACCACCGATACACAACACCTACACCACGCTACACCCGGTTACCACTCAACACTCGGGAGCCGTGACCACACCCGGCAGTCCCCGCCAATCCCTCCATGCCAGGGCCGAGCCGTAGGTCACGGCGACCCCTGTTCCTCCACCCACGTGCTCCGCCTCTTACACCCCCCCCCCGCCCCACTGCTCGTCGTCGCGTGAACCGAACTCCACAGCCGGATATTTCCGTTGCTAGAACCTCTGGCTCCGCGAGACACGCAGAGAGCCCCGGTGGATCGAGCCGAGCCGAACCACGGTCCGCGTCCACCACCCCCTACCACGGAACAACACCACGAGATGTCGACCATGCCCGTGCGCGTAGAGACGCTGCCGCGTGTATATGCGGGTTGTACCGCGTGGCCGACGTTTCGCTCCACCACGTGCTGGAACATTTCTCCAATTCACAAAAGGAGCGCCCGATATTGTTGCGTAAATTGTGGCGATCCGTGTCCTGCCCTGTGTATCTGCTCTGTCTAGTTGTTATCTCGGTTGCTGAATACGCTCCCAGCACGTGCAGCGAAACGTCGGACTGCGTGCCGAGCGACAGGCAGAGGAACCAGCCCAACCCTACGGAGAGCTTCGCGGTAGTGAGATGTACGGAATTCCACCTGTTCAGACAACATTCTTCTCATAGTGGTGCGGTTTTTTATCGGTCCCCGGGGGATGATGGGAATGGAACGCGCGTAGCGAGCACGCTCTGCCACGCGGCCTGGCGCTGTGAGTCAGAGAGACAGAGGGAGCAGCAGCAGCTGCCAGAGGTAGTCGACACGCTTGGCATCACGCGTGGCAAAATCGATTATTGATATTTTTCGATATTTTTTTCCTAAAGACTAAACGAACGAATTCGGCATTTAAAGGCAATAACACGTAACTACAACATCGAATCGTGACCAAAATCGAATCAGCTGCCAGGTCGTTAGTACATCAGTTAGGCCACGTGGGTGATGGAACAGGGGTCAGCCTGGACCGTAAACGTGGGCCCGGTTTCGAGACCTGCAAACAATGGCCATTGCCCGAAACGTTGGCACCTAATACAGTTCGATTGTAAGAGAGTGATACATTTACAACGGGGGGAGGGGGGGTCTCACCTGTGCGCCTTGTGGGAGGGCGGGGCTGCAGGAGAAGGAGGAGCTGGAGGAGGAGCTGGAGGCGGGGGACAGGTATGGCGACGCTGCCGGGGAGCCGCTGCACGAACTCTCGCACTCCCGCGCCGAGTCCCGGAACATGACCGCGCTCACACCTGCGCGCAGGTGAGACGTCAGGTTCTCTCTCTCTCTATCAAATCTCCTCTCTTCCTTCTTCTACGACGATCTCGCCCCCCCCCCCCCCCCTACCAGGTGCAGCAGGTGAGCTGTGAGCCAACCCTCCTGCACTCGCTCTCCTTCAGCTCACTCATTCCACCTCCCCCGTTCTCTCTCTCCCTACCTGGCAAGGTGCGACTTAGCCTCCAGGTGAGGGCTGCAGCCGGAGGCTTAATCCCCGAATCCTTTCGGCTTTGACCGCGTGTCGGCAGCCCGCTTCGTGAACCTGAGCCGGTCCGCCCGTGGGTCACGAGTCTCCGAGTCCCGAGAACACGGAGTCCACAAAATTTCGCCGCGAGTTCCTGGACCGAGCCACGCCACCACGCCGTCACTCCTCCTCCTCCGGCGCGTGCGCGAGCAGCGAGCGAGGAGTGATTCAGGCTCGAGGAATGGGCGCGGGTTTTTGTTCCAAACGGCAACCGAGGGGGGAGGCGGGGCCCCGCTCCTATGACGCAAATGGGGGAGTTGGGGGTGGCTTTCACGGCCCAGCCGTGTCCGTGGGGAGCGGTAGGGTAGCGGTTAGCGCTACGCTGCACTACGAACCCGGCGAACCTGAGTTCGATTCCCGCTCACGGTCATCACCAGTGTCGATTATCTGAACCGGTGCTGGGCCTCCCCGAGGTCGACTCAGCCTCACATGAGTACTTGGTGCGGTGTGTAGACATCCCCATCCCGATCGTGTACCCTTCTGGCCTTCATAGGTGCCACTCGCTAACAAGCGTCTGTTAATAGGTGCTCGCTAACAAGAGTCTGTTCACAACAGTCTGTTCGGGTAATACTGGAACATGTATCTGTGTGCCTGGCAGGGGTGGGAATCTGAGTGTCCAAGTGTTTGTCTTGGTGTCTGTGTGTGAGTTGCCTACGTGATTGTGTTGTTGGTGTAGCAGTGGCGGGCACCCCCCCCCCCCCGCGTCCGGCCTTAATAGGCGCTCGCTAACAACACTTGATCCCAAGCGTCTCTCTACGGTTGTCTTTGTGTAACTGAGTGTGGGTGGTTGCGTGTGTGTCTGTGTTGTTGGAAGTTGTGTCGTTGACTTTAAGTGTGTTTGGGTGTGTCTGTAGGGGCGTGGTTGTGTGTGTACCCACGTCTCAATGTGCGTGTGTGTTTGCCTGTGTCTGAACGTCTCGTGTGAGTGCAAATGACTGTGGAGAGCGGCAGTGCAGCGTTTTTGTCTGAATCAGTCTCGTGCATCCCCTAGGTAGACTCAGCCTCAAACGAGTACCTGGTGCGGTGCGTAAACATCGCCGCGAGGGAGACAAAGACGGCCGGGCGTGCTTCTGGCCAACCCCAACCCCCGTCGTACGTGCCGTGCCGACCCTCATCGGTACTCGCGAACGGCACTTGCCCCGACACTATGCTGAGGCTATACGCGGCGCGTCTCCGCCTTTGCCTTGTGTGCGCTTATATAACCTTCGTGTAAAACGCAGTAAGACCCCACGCCCACGTGTCGCCCCCCCCCCATTGCCCCCTTTAAGAGACGAGGGGTCCGCCCGGAAACGGTGACGTACGTGCCCATATTAGGCGTGGGTATGCGCGGCGCGCGCACGAACACGCGCGCGCGCGCGTGCACGCGCGCAGGGATTTCCTAGCGGCGCGAGAGAACGAGTCGCGCACAATCCACCACAGGAACCCCCGCGACATCCTGGGGTTGGGTGACGATCTAAAATAAATTTCGATTTAAAGCTTTCCTGACTGCAGGGATTCATCTTCTTGGTTCTTTCGGTAAAGTCAAGTAGAATGGAAATAATAAAATAATAAAAATAAAACATAATAAAATAATTCTCACGACGTTTCGGCCACAACGCAAGCAGCCGTCCTCAGGTGAAGAACAGGTCTCGACAGACCTGTTCTTCACCTGAGGACGGCTGCTTATTTTATTATGTTTAAATTTTTTTCCATTCTACGTGACTTTACCGAAAGAACCAAGAAGATCTAAAATAAACTATATTTGTTTCAATGTTACCACGTAAGGCACCGACTGAGGTGTGTAGATATTTTTTTCAGAAGCGACCTGGCTATTACAAAGGATAGCTCAACGAAGTGGGCTCATCACGGGGACATTTATAGCAGCCAAATACTCTAAACGCACGTTGATTGTGAATGTGGAGGAAAACAACTTGAAGACCCGGACAAAACAAATCCAACTCCAAATATACAGCAGGCGTCAGGGTCGGGATCGAACCCACGATCTCCCATCAACCAGGCGAGGTAGTTAACATCTCGCCACGGCAGCGTCTCTTAGCGTCATGGTCAATCCACTGCTGAATGAAGGTCTCCTCCCCACGCCGCCATTCGTCACCTGCACGTGGGTGCCGATTTCATCGCTCCGTCTCCGCGGCGATCAACCCCCGTGGACGAATTTCCTTCTCTGTCTGCCACTCCGCCCTTGTTCTCGCCCGTCCGCTCTCATCAGCACCCATCATTGTGTGGTTATCATCGCGCACGCACGCACGCACGTGTGTGTGTTTATCATCTTTGTATCGCTCCAAACATTGGGTGTGCGTCTTATAATCCGGTAGGAGCGGTGGTGGATCCAAGGCGGGGAGGTGTGGCAGAGGGTGTATAGGGGCCGATCGCCGTTGAGATGCCGGAAATTGATGTTTCATTGATAAATAGAATTTCACACTGAATGTTTATTGGGATGAATGTGGGGGGGGTGCTCTATTTATAACACCTTGACATGACGGCACTGCCCCCCCCCCACACCCCACTCGGGAGGTCTTGCGATCCGTGCCTCTGAGTAGATCTGGTGACCTGATCTGTATCGAACTCCATCGACACCACCGGACACAAGTTAGGGTTGTGGGTGCGTCTTAGTTTCCGTTTCGTCTTATATTCCAAAGAATTCAGGGAATTGTGAATTATTATTATAATTTAACTTACGCACAACTTAACTTGATAACAGTCCGTCAGAGGCCACGTGGGTGATGATGATGATGATAGTGGTGATTATGAAACATACGTAATTAATAATTGGGACAAATAACATTGGGCTGTGAGTCACGTTCGCAGGGAAAAAGAAAGAAGGGGGTTAATTTGGGCAGCGAAGGGAGCGAGGGGATGAATGGGCGCAGTGAGAGGCCCGTGCGTTGGGGCCAGACTGGCACTGTGCACCCTCCCCGCCTCGCTCGGGGACATAAATAGCGAGGGGGGGGGGCGGTGCTTCGGCTGTTTGTGCTCTGGCCGGGCTATATCGAGAACGAGTAACTAAATTAGAAGGCTCGTCACACAGCAAGAATGCTCATTTAAATAGTTTCCTCACAAATAACACACGCGCAACAACAACAACCAAAACCTCTATTATGGATCAAACGAGGCTCGTGTGCGCCGCGTGCGCGGTTGTTTTTGCTGCAGATAACATCCTCCAGATGTAGCTCCCACTCCGGAATGAGAGCGAGACTATGTTTAGACCCACGGAATTAGGAACGACGTTGGCAAAGTCTGTGCTCGTGAAGAAATAGAGCCAACTTTGACGTCGCTCGCTCGGAACAAATGCTAATGGTTAATCGATAATATATTCTTCTTGTGGGGCATGAGGAAGGTAATATTGGGGGGTCCAGAGAGCCAATGGGGCAGAGTACCCCCCCCCCCAAACTCAAGGCATCGGGGCCTACCACCACGCAACCAGGTCTCTCTGCGTTTACCAATTTTCTCCTCCCCATTCAAATACAAAATTAACTCGTTTCACGCTGCACGATAATTGTTAAAGACGTCCTGCGTGGCGTGCTGAGCGATTAACGCTGCAGGCGTCACGTGGGACACGTGTACACGTACGTACACGGAACACATGAGATATCGATCTTCATTCCAATCGCGTCTATTAACGCATGGCCGTGAGAGATGGTAGCGGCTCGGGGAGGCTTTCGTCCAGCAGTGGATAGATCATGTCTGCTGATGACGAGTAAACAACAAACGCCAGGAGGCTGGGTGGCTCAGCGGTATGAGCAGTGAGCCGGCAACTCTGAAGACGTGGGTTCGACCCCGCGTTTGGGTCGCACGTGACTCGACCGCAGTGAGTTCACGGTCTCCGCCCGGCCGCCAGTGACTGCACAAAACCAGCACGGCATGAAATGTTTCCCTTTCGCGAGATGTAACTCGTGTGTAACTGTTGCAAAAAAATAATAATAAAACATTTCCGTTTAAACATGATGACCATCTCTCAGTGTGGACAGATAAGAGGTCACTGGGAGGAATCTCCGAAGTAGTTCTGTAATATCTGCTTCCGCGGGCCGTTCCCTGAAGCAGGGTGACGCGATAGGTCCGAATGCTACTTCCTGACTTCCTCTCGTGACACACGAGGCCGATAGCGCGAGTGGAATGACATTTGAAGTGCTGGGGGGTGGGCGGCAAAAATGCCAAATATCCGTGACGAGTCAGCTGCCGCTGCATATGACTCGTGACCCCGTCCTCTCTAGAGGTTACGGCCATGGTCATTAGAAACGCAGGTGGCGGGGGGGCAGGTCACGCGCCACGAATGACGTTCAGCCACGTCCGTAGCCACCTGGACTGTGACATTTCCTGATTGGTCACGGACCGTGTACGCAGCAATGCATGTGCGTCTGTCCCATTGGAAAAGTATGATCACCACCACCACCGCCACCACCCACCGCCACCATGCAGCACCGATTACAAAAGTGGAGTTATGACCCCACCCATGCGTGCGTGTGAGTTTTCTCTGGCCACGTGTTCGAAATATTCAAATCATCACGATCGCCATCAACAATGATCAATCCATTGCTCGATTCAAAGCCTCCCCAAGCCGCTGCCATCTTTCGAGATTCTGCGATGTATCGATCCACAAAGAAATGACTGGCCACCCCAGCCACGTGGGGAGGCAATCAGCACGTGACCGGGCAAGACGAACAGGAACCTCCTGTGTCTTGATACTCAGGATGGCTTTCCTGGGTCACCTAACGAATCGTTAACTTTAATATAATGTACTCTTCGGTTCTTTCGGTAAGGTCACGTAGGTAGAAAAATAATAATAGATCACGACGTTTCGATCGCCACACAAGCAACCGTCTTCAGGTGGGAGTGAGTGACTCACCGAAAGAACCAAAGAGTATGGATTCCTGCAGTCACGAAAGCTTCAAATCAAGATTTTTTTTTATGTTCCACAACTATTTTCGTGCTGCTATTTTATACAAAAGTAGTTTATAATGCCACGTATTGTCCAGAAAATGCTTACCGAGGTTCAAGACTCTTTTCCGTGAGGGTTCAAGTGCTCTGAGTTGATGAGTGGGTTGGTGAGTTGGTGAGTGGGTAAGTGGGCATGCAGGTGAGTGATTGGGTGGATGAGGGACTGAGTGGTGGGTGAGTTCAAGTATCAAGAGCCGTTTGTTGAACCAGGTGAGAACTCAAGAGACCAGGAGATGAGTCTCGTTTGCGGGAGTGACCCGGGTCACCAACAATGACTACAGCAAAAAAACTAATGAAAAAATCCGAACAAAACACAACTACTGCTGCTGCTGCGCTACACGATGAGGAATTGAGACGAGTGTACAGACACGAATTCCCTGCAGTGCATTTCGACTCGGGTAGATGACCTCCAGGTTGAACTCGGCACAAGTTACCGGGCCAAGCCACAGAAACATTGGACATTAACCAGAAATAGGGCGACTATAGTCCGAATATGTAAACAAACAAGGGACACACGAGTCAAGTGTAATCGCAAGTGAAGTTATCGTAAAGAACCGGCTGCTCAGCATCACATTGTGCTTGAGATGGGAGAGTAACTCCAAAACTTTGTGAAGAGATGGGATTTTAGGTGTGTGTGACATGAACAAAGATACATGCCCGGAGTGTCTATGGGTATCTGTGTCAGTATATGGGGTTTTTGTGAGTCTATGAGTCTCTGTGTGGGTCTATGGGTCTCTGTATGAGTATATGGGTCGTCATCAGCAGCCATTGTCAATCCACTACTAGATGAAGCCCTCCATCCCCCAGCTGTAGCATAAGCCGACATATTCACACGCGTGGACCTGCTGCAGCTACGGCTGCAGCTACTGCTGCTTCAGCTGCTGCTGCGTCAGTGGCGGACACCCAGCAGAGTCGTGGGCGTCTATCACGGCATCGTAACTCGTGCTGCAAGGTGTCAGTTTGAGGCCCGCGTGAGCCCCAATCTCGCGGGGTTAATGGTCACAGTTCTGTTTGCGTGTAAGACCCCCCTACCCGCGGGGGAGGGGTCGGTTCTGGGCAATCATTAACTTTACCGCGCCAAAATGTATCCTCCATAGGGTTCTAGCTAGTCTGATACCGCGCGGAAGTACACACGGTTACTTGCCAATGACAACCACCTCACCATCAACCAAGACCTCAACAATGCCACCTCGTCACCGGCTACTCAAGTCCAGATCCCATACCCTTCTGGGATTGCGCCGCCGCTGCTGCTGCTGCTGTCACCATCCGAGAATCTCACCACCCAGATCCGGAAGAACGCTGCTGCTGCTGCGTAAACAGAGTGGAACACCAACGCGGACGTCGATAATAATAAACCCCTCCTCATTCGAGACCCAAACATCGCCGCAACCTCGTGGCTTTGACATTCCTCCTCTTCAAAGACACTGTTGTAACCATCAGCCTCACGAGAACACCAGCAGCCCGATGCTACACCACACATCCCGTCATCAATGGAAAATTAATGGCACAACAACAGTGTGGGCCGTGCAACCCAAACTTTGGACCATAGAGTAAATAAACCACTGTGGTCTGCGCTGCTTCAACGGAGGAGGAGCAGTAAAATTACGCGCTCTCTCTCTCTCATGAAGCCCTCTCGTCATGGCGAGCAGACCTCGTCGAGTTCCTGAACATATTGCTGTTACCATCACGCGCTAAAAGAGTTAAAAAAAACTTTTATTGTTTTTTTTTTACCAGCAAAGGCTACTTTTTCAGAAGCGACTTGGCCACAAATGATAGCTCAACGAACTGGCTTATCACGTGCAAATTTATAGCAGGGACAAAAAACCGGAGGACCCGGAGAAAAATCCACTTGACCACGGGGAGAACATGCAAACTCCAAATATACAGGTGTAATGACAGGAGAGCCTGCATGCGGAGCGAGGGGACTAGTGGCCACGGGAGCTAATGACAGGGATGCCAGCCGACAATACGAATGCACTCGTGGCCACGGGAGGTAATGGCAGGGGTATTAGTTGTGAGTGCGAAGGGACTGGTGGCTACGGGAATGATTGAGAAGGGAGCGTGGTCAGGTGACGGAAGACGACGGTGGAGTCTTCCGGTGGAGCAAGCGACCGGAGTCGGCGAGAATGATCGAGAAGGGGGTTCGTGGGCTCGGTTTATATATAAGGGAGATACACGGGAGACTCTGGGGTGTTGCAGTGTGCTATCTCAAGAGAAGTGTATCAAGTCGTCATTACGCAGGCATCAGGTCGGGATTGAATCCACGACCTCCTGCATACCAGGCGAGGCGGTTAACAGTTCATTTGGTGATGGGAGGCGGAGGCCGAGTGGAGGTTTGTTCCAGATTTCAGGTTTCCTTTGTTGACCCAGGGTGAGAACTCACGAGACCAGGGATAGAGGAGTCTCGATTGCAAACGGTGACCTGGGTCACCCAAAATGACAAAAATCAAAACAAATAAACTACAGCAATGAAGCGAATATAAATCAGCACAAAAACAACTGCGTCAACGCGGTACATCGTAAAATATCGCGCAGACATAAGGCACCGTTGAGTGTGCGTTTGGATTCTCTACCCCGGTGGAAACGGAGAGGGTGGGGGGGTGGAGGGGGTTGCGTAGCAAGGAGGAGAATCTGGAGACTTGATCACCATAATAAACTCTCACGACCCCCCCACCCACCCACCCGCCCTCTTGCCCCGTTAGGGGGTTCCCGTAAGCGGGGCGAGTGGAGGGGAAAGAGAAAGTTTCCCCTGCACAGGGGGTGCGTGGGGGCAGCGAGGTGGACGCCATATAGGCGCCGGGCGAATTAAGAGTCGAATTCATATTATTTGGTTCTTTCGGTAAAGACACGTAGATAGAAAAAATAATGAAAAAAAAAATAAAAAAAAAGTTTAAAAAAAATTTACATTATCTTTTCTATCTACGTGACTTCACCGAAAGAACAAAATAATATGAATTCTTGCAGTCACGAAAGTTTAAAGTCGAATTGTTGGAAGCGGAGCAAGTCAGGGGCCAGCTGGTGGCTCAACGTTTGTGTTTTGTTCTTGGGGCGGTGTCGGCGCCGCAGCAACTGGGTGAGGGTGATGGGGGAGGAGTCGTGAGCGACGTTGACCACCTTGACCCGGACGTCATGTGTGTGTGCCATTGTGTGTTACCGTCCGTGAATGCGAATTGTGTGATTGGATGAGTGCGTTGTGCCGGGAGCGGTAGAGCAACGATTAGCGCGCTGCGCTACGAACCCGGCGACCCGAGCTTTTCACATTCGCGGCCAGCACCAAGGGGGATTATCTAAGACGGTCTTGGACCTCTCCTAGGTCCGCTCAGCCTCAAATGAGCATCTGATGTGTGTAAACATCGCCACTGGGGAGACAAAGGCGGCCGGGTGTGATGCTGGCCACCCACGCGCTCATGTGCCGTGGCGGTCTTCAAAGGTGTTCACTAACAGCACTTGATCCGGCGTGGGGGAGCTGGTCACACCAGACCCTAGTGCGCCATTCCGACCTTTATGGGTGCTCGTTAACAGCACTTGCGCTCAAATGTCTAAACGATTGTTGTGTGTGTGTGTCTCCGTGTGTCTGTTCGTATCTGAGTGTGTCCGTGTGTTTAATTCGGTGTGCGTGTCTGTCCGAATGTCTCTATGTCTGTATGTGCGTCTATGTGTGCGTGGCTGACATCGGTGACGAATATCTTTAACCGGTCCCTGGGCCTGCCCTAGTTCGACTCAGCCTTAAATGAGTACCTGGTACGGCGAGTAAACTTCAGAAACTGGAGAGAGAAAAACTCTTAGGTTTTTTTCGGTAAAGTCACGTAGGTAAAAAAATAATTAAATTAAAATGAATAAAAGTAATAATAAAAATAAAATAATAAATCACGACTTTTCGGAGGCAACACAAGTCTCCGTCATCAGGTGGGACCGTCACAGCCAGATTTACTGTATCAAGTGAGAGAGAAAGGCGGCATGGCGTGGTACTTTTGGCAACGCATTCCCTCGTGTGCCCGTCTTGGCCTTCATAAAGGTGGTCGCTAACAGCACTTGCCGCAACAATCTGTTAAAGGCTACACGGCGGGGGGTGGGGTCTTTGTCTTTATGTGTGTGTCTGTGTGTGTGTCTGTGTGTGTGTGTCTGTGTGTGTGTCTGTGCGTGTGTCTGTGTGTGTGTCTGTGTGTGTGTCTGTGCGTGTGTCTTTGTGTGTGTGTCTGTATATGTGTCTATGTGTGTGTCGTCTGTGTGTGTGTGTCTTTATGTGTGTCTCTGTGCGTGTGTCTGTGTGTGTGTCTCTGTGTGGGTGTCTGTGTGTGTGTGTCTCTGTGTGTGTACGTACGCGCGCGTGTTTGCTGTTGGCGTGCGCTCACGCACAAGGGAACATCACGTGCTCGTGTACGGGGAGGAGGGGGCGGGGGAGGAAGGCGTGGGGTGGGTGGGTGGGGGTGAGGAGTGAGGGTGGGGGGTGAGGTTGGGGGGTGAGTACGGGGTGGGCGGGGGTTTGAGGGTGGGGGAGTGGGGGTGTTAGTGTTGGGGGGTGAGGGTGAGTAGGGGGTGGGTGAGTAGGGAGTTGGTGAGGGTGGTGGGGTGAGTAGGGGGTGGGGTGAGGGTGGGGGGAGTGAGGGTGGGAGTGTCAGGGTGGTGGGGTGAGGGTGGGGGTGGGGTGAGGGTGGGGTGAGGGTGGGGGGAGTGAGGGTGGGAGTGTCAGGGTGGTGGGGTGAGGGTGGGGGGTGAGTAGGGGGTGGGGTGAGGGTGGGGGGTGAGGGTGGGGGGTGAGTACGGGGTGGGCGGGGGTTTGAGGGTGGGGGAGTGGGGGTGTTAGTGTTGGGGGGTGGGGGTGAGTAGGGGGTGGGTGAGTAGGGAGTTGGTGAGGGTGGGGGGAGTGAGGGTGGGAGTGTCAGGGTGGTGGGGTGAGGGTGGGGGTGGGGTGAGGGTGGGGGGGAGTGAGGGTAGGAGTGTCAGGGTGGGTGGGTGAGGGTGGGGGGTGAGGGTGGGGGATGGTTGACATGAGGCGGGGAACTTTTGTGCGGAGGAGGGGGTGCCTGAGTTCGCGGCGTGGAAACGCTGGATGGGCGAGGCGGTGGTGGGGATGATGGGGATGGTGGGTGATGGGGATGATGGGGGTGGTGGGTGATGGGGGTGGTGGGTGATGCGCGTGATGGACATGGTGGGTGATGGGGGGTGATGGGTGATGATGGGGGTCGTTGGTGATGTGGGTGGTGGGTGATGTGGGTGATGTAAGTGATGAGGGTGATGGGAGTGATGTGGGTGGTGATGTGGGTGTGATGGAAAGACGCCGATGTTGCGTCATTTCCCGCAACACTTGGCCGCATTTCCAAGACGCGGACCCTGCTGCCCTCCTCCGCACTGCCCTCCTGTACCCTCCCCTGCCTTGCGCTGCCCTCCCCTCCCCTGGACTGCCATTCCATGCCCGGCTGCACCCCCCCCCCCCCACCGCTTTAATCCTCTGGGAGCGATGTGGGGCAGCGACCCCCGGGGATTACCGGGGCCCTCCCAACCACCGCTCTCTCCCCTTCCTCTGTACTGCTCCGTGCCCCCCCCCCCCCGCCACTGCTTCTCCCCCCCCTCTCCCCCCCCCTCCCCCCTTGTTCCACATCCACCCCTCCTCTCTTTCCTACCCCTCCCCACCTCCCCGTGCCCCCCCCCCGCCCCCACCCCTATGCCGTCGTGACCCCTGGCGCGCGGTGATAGCGGCGAGAGAACATGTAGTGGGCAGCGGCGTGATGGTGGTGTCTGCTGTGATGGAGGTTGTGCGTTGTGGTGAGGTTGATGATGATGATGTCGGGAGCGATAGTTCCATTTCCCCCCCCACCCAGCAACCCGAGTTTGATTCCCGCTCACGGACAACACCAGTGACGATTATTTGATCCGTTCTTGGGCCTTCCCCTAGGTCGGCTCAGGCTCAAATGAATACCTGGTGTGGTGTGTAAACATGCCCACTGGGGAGGCAAAGGCGGCCGGGCGTGGTGTACCCTCCCGGCCTTCATAGGTGCTCGCCAACAGCGTTAGCTCCAAGAGTCATTTAAATGGCTATACGGGGGATTTTTGTCTTTGATGATGAAGTGGTGGCGTGGGTGATGATGAAGGTGGTGGTCTGGACGATTATGATGAAGCCTATGGCGTTCCATTATAATCAATGCAATGCTGCTGCTGATGATGAAGGCTGTTGAGCTTGTTGATGAATGAGTCCGTGTTGAATTAGCTTTTTTGCTGCGTGCGGGACAAGGAGATTAGTGAGCGAGTTGGCGCGCCCCGGGGCCTCCGAGCGCCTGCGTCAATGTGGGGGGGGGGGGGGGGGGTGATTCATTCATCGGTGACGTCGCCTCGTATGCGCGTCTCGTCTGGCTCTCGGCTGAGACGCGCTCGACACGTCGAGACATCTCCGACCTCGCTGCGTTCTCTGCGCGGAATTTCAACGGCAACGATATTGGAAGAGCGATGCCCTTCGACGAGCCCGATACAATAACGGGCGAGCTTCGTTCATCGCGAGAGCCCTGTCATAGAGAACACCTCACTGCAGATACGAGGGGAACACACTCGAGATATCCGCACAGATGGATTCAATCAATGCAGCTGTTGTACTGTACTTCTTCTGGCCATCTCGCAGCCCGGCGAGGTTTGGGGAGTTTCACAAATCTCTGCTTGATCCACCAACCCTCGCCTCCAAAGCGCCAGATGACAGGCGCATCTCTTCTTCTTCTTCCGAGCGTTGTTCCCGCTGTGGCGCAGGGTCCGCTTTTCGGCATTGTCTTCTCCATTTGGCTCGGTCCAGGGCATCTTCAGGGGATGCGTTGACCATCTTCATGTCTTCCTTTATTCGATCCATCCATCGCTTCTTCGGACGTCCGTGTGGACGGCGGCCCTCTGGCTCAATACACACGGCAGTCTTGGCCACTGATGACTCTTCACTTCGCATCACATGGCCGTACCACCGAAGCCTTGCCTCAAGCATCTGTCCAGGGTTATTTGTTTGGCTTTTTGTTGCTGTTGTTCGCGGAGGGGGGAATTCTTGTTCAGAGCTTCACAAAAACACTGAGGAGGAGGAGGAAAAGCAAAACGACACGAACACTCTCTCTGCTGAAGCCCTCCCGTCGTGGCCAGCAGTAGCAGCAGACTTCGACATTGTTGACATCGAGCTCCTGAACCACAACACCGCTGCTGCTGCCAGCATCATCATCACGCAAGGCAAGAGTAGCATAGCTTCATAATTTACTCGCCACTTACTCGAACTCAGAAGCACGGTCGCTGGGTTCATAGCGGAGCGCGCTAATCACTCCGCCCCCCCTTCCCACACGCAGTGGGTTCTACACCTGGCCTGGACTAAAGGGACTGAGCGGGTGACTTTAATTGTTGCCCAGAAGCGGCCGATGTGGACTTTGGAGCTCGCGTCTCGGCGGAGGCGATGGCTCCGTCCCGCTAGAGCAGCTGCTGTTGAATGAGCCACTTGCTGTCCGTATTGTACTGTTTGTTGTTGTAACTTGCTCAGCTGTCCCTACTGGACATCTGTGAAAAAGAGCTTCATAGCTCATCGGATTCCTTCTCAAGTCTAAATAAAGAATCTGATTCTGATAGCTGCGACTCCTGAGGCTGCTGGTGCTCGACACCGTGCGAACTGCACTCAGCCTTGGGGCATTATGCAAACAACACAATCGTCAGCGATTCAAATTTCGATTTAAAGCTTTCGTGACTGCAGGGATTCATCTTCTTGGTTCTTTCGGTAAAGTCACGTAGAAGGGAAGTAATAAAATGATGAAAATAAAACATAATAAAATAATTCTCACCGTAGAAGGGAAGTTTTAAAATAATAAAAATATAATAAAATAATTTTCATCGTGAGAATTATTTTATTATATTTTTATTATTTTATTACTTCCCTTCTACGTGACTTTACCGAAAGAACCAAGAAGCCGTCAGCGATTCCTGAAGAACTGGATTGTTATCCTCTTGCCTCAAGTCACCATAAACATACATTCTTACAAATGTGACCGACTGACAGGCAGCATTTGTTGGAGCCGGATAACTGTGGAGCGGTTTTGTCGTCATTATGACTCATCAGTAGTACAGGATAGTCACTGCTGAAGTCTGCCTATGGGGACCGTTCATGTGGAGTGCGGGGTGGGGGGTGATGTCGACTGTGTTCCGTAGAGTCAGAGTCTCTTCCGTAAAAGTGACCAATCGCCCGACGAGTCTCGGATCTCCTGGAAAAATCCGCGTTGCGATTGCGTCACTGCGCGCAGTGCGCACGTGTATGTGTGTACGTTCGAGGGAGCGGTGGTTTAGTGATTAGGGCGGTGCGGTCCAGACTTCGATGCGGGTGTTTATTTTTAAATGTTTTTCGGCCAATGTATGATGAATGTTTAGTGTACACGTGGCAGAAGGACAATTGAACACCCACAGAAAACACACGCGATTCACCATCCAAGCCCCATCCAGACTCAAATCCCTCTTAAGAGTCAGAGACTCGAAGCTCGCATGAGACTGTCTCTCCGTCCAGGCGCTGTTAAACATTTCCACGCGAACGAGAAACATTTCCGCAGGTGGTCGCGGCGTCATAACAAGTTCTGCAAAAAAATGTTCCTGAAAATAAACTTATTAGAATCGGACCACGCATTTTGGTGACTTTACACGACCATGCTCACCCACCGCACACACACACGCGCGCGCGGGCACGCACTTTCCTGCAGGCGGAGCAGCTAATTTGGATTGTTTTGCCAATTTGCGGCGGTCTCGGAAAGAACAAATTTGAAAAACCACAACTTGCTCACTTCAGTGAGGTGTGCGGAGTGAGCTGAGCGGGTGGGTGAGCCGAGAGGGGAGTGAACTGGGAGACGGGAGGTGTAAATTTATTTATGCACGGCAAAGATTGTAATCAGTGCATACGTCCGATGATGTGTCAGAAACACGGACACTTAAATTAGAAAATGGAACAAAAGATGTGACGGTGCGCGAGGAGGTCATAGAGAGCGACATCCCCGGAATCTCTTTTGAAGACGTGGATTTAGAGAGCATATACAGGTGAGACATCTAGGAAGAGTGCGCTCTGGCAGGAGGATATATCTCGACGAGAGGCTGCCCATGAGGCCATCCACCGAGGAAGATGGAGCGATGAAATCCGCTCATGTTCAGCTTGGTGCTTGGTGGATCGTTACATCGCACCGGCACCGTGAGAGATGGCGGTGGCTTGGGGAGGAGGCCTTCATCCAGCAGTGGATGGATCACGGCCGAATGTGATGGTGATATGCGGATCACATTCTGTTCCACTTAGGGTGATGGGGCGAACAAAACTGTACAATAGAGACAGCAAAATGTCGATTCTTTAATGTTTGTTTCTCTCCAGATCCTGATAATTGCATTGCTCGGGGTCAGTATCCACACGCGGATTATCGTTATAGTTAAACCCACACAGACACACACAGTGGAACTGGTACTGCCAAAACATTCCCAATTATGAAACATTTACACCCCACAAATCACTCAATTGGGATCGCACACGCGGCACCATCGCTCCCTACTGTGAAAAAACTTGGCGGGACCCTCCTGCAAAAAAAGAGTCTTGAGACTCAATGATGCTCTCCTAGATAAACAAGTAGAATAATTATAAATTATTATAACACATTGACACATTTACTAGCATGGCACAAAAGACAAAGTCCCCCCATGTAGCCTGCAATTGACTGTTGGGGACAAGTGCTGTCGGCTGAAAGTAGGGACGGCGCACGAGAGGGTGGTGTGGCCGGAAAACAACGAACGGCCGCATTTTTGTCTCCCCAGTGCTGAAGTTTTATTCATTGCACGAGGTACTCATTTATAGCTAAGTCGACCTAGGGGAGGCCCAGCTATCACTTGCCACCGACGTTAGCGTCACGGCTCTCACCCCCCTCCCCCCACGCTGTGGTCTGTGTCTCCTCCTTGCCCGACTATGTGGCGCCTCCACGTGGCAAAGGGGAGGCTTCCAACACTCACCATCCCTCACCAGAGCGAGGGTCACTTGTAACAGAGGTCGCAAACGGGTTTTGATTCCTTACCCGTACCCGGCCGCACCAGGGTCGCAAACGGGCTACCCGTACCCGGCCGTACCCGTACCCTACCCGTTCTCGGCCGGGTACGGGTAGGGTACGGGTATCGGGTATCTGATTGCGACCTCTGGGATGAAGCCATGTTGCAGGCGCGGGTGGGTTGATTCTAGGAACTTGAATTGTGAGAAGAGACAAGACGTTGGGAAATGAGTGACAAACGGTTTGCTCAATCTTAATTTGGAGCTTTCGTGATTGCAGGAATTACTCTTTGGTTCTTTCGGTAAAGTCACGTATAAAGATAAAATAATACATTAAATAATAGCATACGACGTTTCGATTGCAACACAAGCAATATGTGTGCCTATGTGTTGCTCTCTCTCTACGTATCTTGGTGATATCTGTCTGCTTATATGTCTGTCTATAGTTGTCTGGTTAGATTTTGTTGCTATTTCATTTATAAACGGTGACTCACCAGTGACTCACGGCCTACCCGTACCCGGCCGCACCAGGGTCGCAAACGGGTACCCGTACCCGGCCGGGTACGGGTAGCCGGGTATCGGGTAGGGTACGGGTATCGGGTAGGGTACGGGTATCGGGTAGGGTACGGGTATCGGGTAGGGTACGGGTATCGGGTAGGGTACGGGTATCGGGTAGGGTGCGGGTATCGGGTACCCGATTGCGACCTCTGGCTTGTACCCAAGATGTCGCCCACTCCCCCCTTGTCCAATCGAGTTATTTACTTTTTAGTGCACTTTAAAATAAAATCGTTGTTTAAAAAAAAACTTTTTAAAAGGAGTTTTTTTTGTTATTTTCTTTGAACCATCTCCGTGACTTTACCGAAAGACCCAAAGAATATAGAGAAAGCATTGTTGGCTGTGCATGGTGCTTCAGAAGTTAACACTTCTGAGAATTTTGCAACAATACCACGAGAAATGTGCTGCTGATGGTGAACAAGTGGGAGACTTATATTCTTGGCTCTTTCGGTAAAGTCACGTAGAAGGGAAACAATAAAATAAAATAAATATTTGTGAGAATTTTATTTTTTATATTTTTATTATTTTATTATTTCCCTTCTGCTTGACTTTACCAAAAGAACCAATAATATGAATCCCTGCAGTCACGAAAGCTTTAAATAAAAATGTAAGTGGGAGATTCTTTGAAACTATTAACATAAATTTGTTATCATGTTATAGTGTATTATAATACGTTATTTATACATTAAAAACGATAGTCCCATGTAAGTGTTAACATTTTTTTGAAGCATCATGTTGAATATTTTGACGGACGCGCCATCCAGCGATGACGTCACGTTGACCATCGTCATTGTGCGGTGTCGCAGGCGGGACCGAACACGGGGGGTGACGTCATGGCGGAACGTGACGTCATAAATGCGCCTCTGATTACACTGACGTCATTGCATCCTCTGGTTACACCAATGACGTCACGAAACGCGACTGCGTCGTCTCGCGCGGAGTCTCGCGAGATCTTTCCCCCCCCCACTCCCCCGCGGGTCCTCCGCGCTTCCCCATCCGGCTGGAAACGCGTGCGGAACCGAGCACCGGGCTCTTCGTGTTCCGACCTCGCGCCTCTCCTCATCACCGTCATTGTTCATCGTCATCTGTGGGATCATCAGCAGGGTCGGTACCACCTCGTCTGTTGTCATCGTTCGTGACGACGGCGACGACGACGACGAGGAGGATACCGCAGTGAGGTGAGCAAGACGCGCCGGGGGGTTTCCCGGGACACCAGGTGTGGAGGTGACGTGTTGGCCTTATGGATGGACTGGTTCTTGCCATATAAACGTGGAATTGTCACCGCCGCCCGAACTCTTGTTCGCCACTTCACATGAAGGCCTCGTCCCCCCCCCCCCCCCTCGTCCCCTTCTTCTCCCCGCGCGAGTTTAAGTTCCGTCCGATCGGTCTCAGGGTATTGAGAGTCCACGAGGAAAATGGAACAGAAGCTTCATGCCGCCACGTGCACTGCAGTTGTTTAAACTCTCTCGAGAAGATGAGCGGGGTTAGGCCGGGAAGCGGTGATGCCTTGGATGGTCAAGAGTCAATCATAATAATAACAACAATGGTGTGAGCAGCCGAGGAGTGAGACACGTGTACTGTGGTGGATACGTCCACCGTGGAGATGGAACGGTGAAAGCGGCTCTGGCTTGTAGGCCGTCGCCGAGTGGATTGCTGTGTTGTTAATGCCTCGAAACCAGCTCGTATATTGGTGGTGACCCGGGGGATGCTGCCACAGCGGTGCCATAGTCGGGGCACACTCGGCTCGCGATCCAGAGGTCGTTTGTTCGATCCTTTGGTTGCGTTTCTTTAATCTCCCCACCCGCTCATGTCCAGCCAGCAGTGTGAATGGGTTCACCACACTCGATCGCCAGGTCGCGCCTGGTAAGATACACGTGTGGGTACCTCTTCCAGTTCGTTTGGCCAATGTTGAAGAGTAGACCAAGTACCCTCGAGAGGGGGGACGGGAGGGCTTTCTAGAACCTCCTTTAGCGGAGGCCCCTTGTACCCGCAGTGGCAAGTCATTGCAAGGCCGGGCCTCTTAACCCTCTCGCATATCACTGCTCAGAATATGACAAATTGTTTGACGCTGCTCCATGTCCCCGTGTCGCTTTCACCAGCAGGGCCTAGCAGCGTGTTGGACTGCACCCCCGCCCCCCGGGGTGGGCGCTGAGATCCCGGCACCATGTGTGACACCACGTCCCTCGACAGCCTCATGGAGATGGGGTTCCCCAGGAACCGCGCGTGAGCCTCCCCCCACACCCTCCACTCACCTGGTGGCGAAATGTTAAATCTGAAATTTGGAGCTTGTATGTCTGTCTATATCTTCTTGGTTCTTTCGGTAAAGTCACGTAGAAGGGAAGTGACTTTACCGAAAGAACCAAGAAGATGAATCCCTGCAGTCACGAAAGCTTTAAATGTCTGTCTATAGTTTTCTAGTTAGATTTTTGTTGCTATTTCTTTTATGCCTGATGATGATTGCTTGTGTTGCAATCGAAACGTCGTAATATGCTATTATTTAATTTATTATTTTATCTTTAGACGTGACTTAACCGAAAGAACCAAAGAAGAAATGTTAAATCCCACGCCTGGTATACAGGGGGTCGTGGTTTCGATCCCGACCCCTGACGCCTGCTGTATATTTTGAGTTTGCATGTTCTCCCCGTGGTCATGTGGATGTTTCTCTGGTTCTTTTGGTTTGTCCTAAATTTAGAATCAGCGTGCTTTTAGAGTGTTTGACTGCTATAGATTTCCACATGATAAGCCACTTTCGTTGAGCTATCAATTGTGAACAGGTCGCTTCTGAAACAGCTGTATATATCAGTGGTTCTCAGCTGGTAAATAAAAAATATACTGTCGTTTAGTTTTTGTTTCACCTGGGCACCCTGCAGGCAGTGGAAACTCATCTCCTGGCAAATCTCCCCCTCACGAACCCGGCCGCGTGATCAGGTTTTAAATTATCTTCTTGGTTCTTTCGGTAAAGTCACGTGGAAGGGAAATAATAAAATAATAAAAATAAACATAATAAAATAATTCTCACGACGTTTCGGCCACAACGCAAGCAGCCGTTATTATGTTTCATTTTTATTATTTTATTATTTCCCTTCTACGTGACTTTACCGAAAGAACCAAGAAGATGAATCCCTGCAGTCGCGAAAGCTTTAAATTGAGGTTTTAAATTAATGTCCCCACGCCCTCCGAGCTGTGGACTCCAATCCCCCGTTGAAGTCCAAATTTAAGACCTCCCCAATTATTCCCCTGCTTCTCTGTACAAAATAACAATGCTCCTGTACAGCGTCTCGAGGTGTGGTCACATTTATACGCTCTATAAATCCACATTGCATTATATTGACACACGTAGGGATCCGTAGAATCACACAGAGATCCGTACACTCACATATTGACTCACGGACTCGCACGAGACTCATTTACCAACATAGAGACGGACAGACTCGCATAGAGACCAATTGACTTGCATAGTGCCCCAGAGACTCAAATAGAGACTCGCATGGAGACCCATAGACTTTGCTCTGTGTGTTATTGGCCACTTCCATTTTAAATTGGTGTTGTGCTTCGTGATTTTGCTGGTGACTTCCTTTAAAGTGGTAGCTATTTTATCAGACCCGAATGAATACTGGGCCGAGTCGACCCGCGCTCTGGATTTGTTCGTGAGCCTGTTGGCTTGCCAGTGGAGTGCTGTGACCGCAGAGAAGAGGACGACAATCTGGGATAACGACTTGTCGATGTTTGTGCAGAGAGAAAGCGCTGGCGGTGACCGGAAACCAAGGAGTGAATCTCGCCATGGACTGGTACGTCGCGCAAAACCACTGTCATCATCAGCCACGAGTAATCCACTGCTGTAATGCTGCTGCATGGGTTTTCGCGGTTGTGCCGAGTAGCCCTCTGATGTGTTTTCTGGTTTTCCACACGTGTTGTTGTATTGTTTGCTGTTGTTGTAACTTGCTGACAAGCCCCTGCTGGACATCTGAGAAAAAGAGCTTCATAGGTCATCGGATTCCTCCAGCATAAATAAAGATTCTGACAGTTCGGCACGGTGTCTAACAGCGTGCCAAACAACACCGAAACACAGCACAAACTCCACTGCTGTTGTTCCAGCGGTTTGTCACATTTGTTTAACCACACCTGGGGCCATGTTCCTGTATTCTGTGCTTCTTGCAATAATTGGGTATGCGTGGCTTGGAAGAGGAAAGAAGACAACCAGCACTATTTGCCCAATTTGTCTATTGAGTGCTTTATGGAGGATATTTGTCTTTGTGCGTTCCCCAGGAGGCTGCCGTGGTGTGTTGGTTAGCATACTGGACTTGAAGGGATATACACAGGCGGAGGGCCCCCCCCCCCTTCTCTCCGCGCGAGTTTATTTTCAATCCGGACGTTGCCGGTTTGATCTCCCGGCGCGGCAGTAGAAACAATGACGCAAGTTTCTTAAATGCTCTGCCCTTTGTCCACCCAACAGTGTAGATTGGTTCACCGCAGTCAATCGGCAGGTCGTGTGTGGTGGAGTAAACTGTGGGACTCGCACTTCTTCCAAGACGAGCTACTCTTCTAGCATGGAAAAGCAGGCCAATAACCCCCAAGAGGGGAATCGCTAGAGGACCTTCCACTAGCAGTGGCGCGAGCGAGCAGTTGCAGGGCTGCACCTTTACCGCGCTCGTTTCCCCCCAAGGCTGTTTGAGCACTCGGAGGACGCGGACATCGACGAGCCGTACGTTCCGCCCCAGGGGAATGTCGTGGACCCCGCGGCGGCGGCCACGCCGCCCACACTCAGCCTGTCCACCGAGTCGGCACTCGCCGCCCAGCGCCAAGAGGGGGACGGGGATCCCGGAGGTATTGACCACGACTCTAACGAGCACTCGCACGAACCATCTAAGGATCCCCTCTTCATGAGCCCTCGAATGACCACCTCTAACGAGCCCTCTAACGAGCCCTCTAACGAGCCCTCTAATGAGCCCCTTTAACGACTCCCTCTTGGGATTCCCCACGGTGAAGCTTTCCATCATTTACCGGGGCTTAATTTCTTGCCCAATATTTTATGGTTCACCGGTAGACGAGGGTGAATCGCGCCGTGACTCCTCCAGTCCTACCCGGGAAGTTTCGGCACTGAGATGTGAACAACTGTGGAGTGGACATGGGGATGATCGCAGGATGGGAGGGAGTGCAGGAAGAGGGTTGGGAAGGTAGACCTGCCACATCAGTGGGGACAATGCCAGGTTGAATATAAGAACAGAAGATTGGTCGTCACGAAACGGTGGATGGCGGGGGGGGGGAGTTGAGCAGACTAGAGTTGAGAAACGCTGCACTCGCCAAATCGGCGCACGGTGCAGCAGGGTGCACGAGATCGGGTCCTTGCCTCGACCGGATTCGATTCTAATCGTCTTGGCGGTGCTGGTCTAAACCCCTGAGCTGCCCGGCTGCACCGTGCGGTGCAGTCCAAGCGCGGTGCCGGTGCAATGTCTCGCAGCGTCCCCACGGTGTGGTGAATATGCCTGAACCACAGAGTCCGAGGACGGTGCCGAGGGACAGGAGCCTAAGAAGATGCTCACCGAGGAGGAGCGCCAGCAGCAGCTGCAGAGGTGGTGTTCTGCTTTCGTGTGGCATTTTAAAAACGACAATGAGTTTATAATAATTATAATTGAGTACATTTTTACAATTCTTATCGCGTAGTGCAATTATGAAGGCGTATGTTTCCCAGACGGACAGCCTGCCAGTCGGGAGTGATGTTGCTTTGTGGAGTCCCAGTGTGCGTGTTGAGCAGTGGACAGTGAGTGGTGGTTGCATTCACCTCGGTCCAAGGAGACACCTTGACTCTCCACTTATGGAGGAGGTAGCTGTAGATGGCGGCATCTCTCTATGTGCAGCAGCGATTTCAACGCTCGAACAATTTGAACTTAAAAAGGAAGTTCAGGTTCTTGAGCTCACGGTACACGCTTTTCATTAATATTAGTGCACGTGGAAAATTTAGTATTTGCGATTTATGCAAACGTGTGTACATGATTTGCTGCTGCTACATTTAACGAAGTGAAGCGATTGAGGCTGTATAACTGAGACAGCAAAACTGACACGAAGCAAACTAGGAAGTATTTTGGAGACAAAAACTAATTATTAAAGGGAATCGCAACCCTGAATCGTGAGGATAGTATCAGATTGCCAGGGGGTTGGGGGGGGGGGGGTAATTGTGACACGCCTTGAGCGCCACGCACGTACGTTGACATCCGTAATGCCACCACGCCACAGACTCGAAGAGAAGCTGCGGCAGAAGCGTCTGGAGCGCGAGGAGAAGGAGCGGCAGGAGGAGATCGAGCGCGAGAAGCAGCGGCGCAAGCACGGCCAGGAGCTGGCGAGCATCCGCACGCGCATGCAGGAGGAGGAGATGCGCAAGCTGGTGGAGGAGCGAAAGCGCGAGAAGGACGAGGAGAGGATGGCGAAGTGAGAGCGGCCCTCGTGCACACAGACACACACGTGCACACACACGTGCACACACACGTGCACACACACGTGCACACACACGTGCACACACACGTGCACACACACGTGCACACACACGTGCACAAAAAGACAAAGATCCTCCGTATAGCCTTAATAGACTGTTGGGGCAAGTGGTGTTAGGCCGGCATGTCCCACGAGGGGGTGAGTGGCCAGAACCATGCTCGGCCGCTGTTGTCTCCCCCGTGGCGATGATTTTGCACACTGCATTTGGTACTCATTTGAGGCTAAGTCGACTTGGGGGAGGCCCAGGACTTGTTCAGATAATCGTCATTGGTGTTGGCCATGAGCGGGAATCGAACTCGGTTCACCGGTTTCGTAGCACAGTGCGCTAACTACCACACGCACGCACACACTCACGCGTGCACACACTCACACGTGCACACACAAGTGCGCACACACAGATGTGCCCGCACACAATGGCAATGGCCACCATTCACCACGAAGTGATGGCGGTGTCATCACAGCGCTTGTCCCAGGACAGATTCACTTGAAAGCTTTTGTGTGAAGTGTGGAAGCCTCGCGGCTGGTAGGGATGGAACGGGACAGACCCAGGTGTTGTGGGCTGACTGGCTGAGATGGCTGGCTCCCCAGTGTACCCAGATACACGCGAGCACACGCACATGCCCAGCGTGCCGCGGTCATCGCTGTGTAGGGCAGCTGCTTACCAGGTTCAAAGGTCACTCTTAAATTAGTCAGAGGGCATTGTCGCAAAATCCATTGTTGTTCTCATGCATATGCTCCCCGCCTTCACCAACCGCACTGACCAGCGTGGTGAAGTATGATTAAACAGCCCTCTTTATCTAGCAATGGATTGACAAAGCCTGCAAATCATTATTGTTATTTTTACTCGCCCATTGAAGCTGGGAGATTTAAACCTGAGTTTATATGTTTCTTTTTTCCCTTCACCGTGTACCTGTGTTGCCTTTACTATGCCACCTGCCTATCCGTGAGAGCGGCGAGTGCGTCGCTGCTTGTTTGCTGATGATGAGATCGCTGCTGCTGTGTTTTGTTAGGGAGCGAGTGCGGGAGAAGATCGCTCGCGACAGGGAAGAGAGAGCTAGGAAGGTGAGTTCTGCGGTGGCGGCATCTTCGTAGGACTTGATTTTGGCGAATAGAATTACATATGCACACACACATACAGTCTGTTCTCCTATGAAGCATGTTTTTATAACGCGAATTGTATTTCACGCGACGAATGTATTAGGGAATACATTTTTACAACTCGGATGCAAATTGGATAAAACGCGATTGAGTAAACGTAACTATGTCGCGCGAGTAGGATCAAGCGGTTGTACGGCTGCCTCGGTGTAGCATCACACGAGGCGAGGTGCTGCTGGATGCTTCTAGATGCTACCCATGCGCTTCAGTCTATCTTCAGCCTGCATACACATCTCGTGTTATCGCAGACTGTGCTTTACCCTATTTATTATTTATTTGAACGCGATTTTACAATAACGCAGCGTTCAGGAACAAAACTACCACATTATAGGAGAACAGACTGTACAAAGACAAAGATCCCCTTAGACTGTAGGGGCAAGTGCTATTAGCGAACACCTATGAAGACCAGCACGTCACCCGAGTGGCGATGTTGACACACCGTACTAGCTACTCGTTTGAGGCTGAGTCGACCTCGGGGAGGCCCAAGACCAGTTCAGATAATTGTCACTGGTGCTGGCCATGGGCGGGAATGAAACTCGTTCTGTCAGGTTCATAGCGCAGCACACCAACCGCTGTGCCACCACTCCCTAAAACTACCCACAAGTACTTGGGGATCACAAAGGGGTAGTGGAGGGACGGAAAGGAGGGGAGGGAAGAGGAAGAGAATAGGCAACAGAGAATAGGTGAGCTTCGAGAGAGGAAGGCAAGGAAATGTAGGAGTCTACAGGGTGGTTGTCGATCGTTGGCTCTCGTTGGCTCTCGAGTGCGCTGCGTAAACGTTGACACCGTCGCTGTCGCCGCGCAGTTCGGAGAGACGACTGGAGCGGAGGCGGTCCCCGCTGCGGGGACTGCAGCGCCCCCTGCCACCAGCGAGCCACCCACCTCGACCACCGCCACCACCTCCCCCCCCAAGCGTGACTACGATCAGTGCCGCATACAGGTGCTTACTGCAGTAACCACGATATGGTGATGCTACCATGCGTTGTACAGTATTGGTCCACGATATTCGCGTAGTCCGTTTTACTAAACATTGCATGTATTTTTTTTCCTGACTATGTTTTAATTGTCAAACACAATAATTACAACGCTTGATTTCCACGCGGGCTCCTTTTTCGGCGTTTGTTCTGCACCCGGTTGCCCGACTGGTTAGTCCTCTCCTGACCGTGAGCCACCCCCCCCCCCTCCCCCACCATGGTCCTGCCCTGTCCCCCGCGGCCCGCGCGATGCCCAGGTTCGCATGCCGGACGGCAGCCAGCTGATGCAGTCGTTCGCGGCCAAGGAGACGCTGGCGGCGGTGCGGCTCTTTGTGGAGCTGCACCGTCAGGACGAGGCGACCCCCTTCGTGCTGCTCACCAATTTCCCGCGGAGGCTGTTCGGCGACGAAGACATGGAGAAGCCCCTCTCCGAGCTTGGTAATACGCGCTGCCACACGTGTTACACCCAGATATACAACAACAACAACCGCCATTCGCCACTAAGTGGCGGTGACGTCACCACGACGCCAGATATACCCCACAGGGCCCACACACATACGTTGTGTCCCCGCGCCACACCGCGCGTGTCAACGTTTGGCAGCGATCATTCTTAATGGGGAATTTTTTTTACTTAAAATGCTGTCGAGATGGGATCTTTCTTTTGTGTAAGTGGGACCTGGCAAATTCTGAGCAGAGGCAGTTGTTGTCCGTTGCTTATCCCAGTTAAATTAGGATGACTAAAGCCCAGAGTATTCTGTCCGTAGGTAGGATGAATTACACAGACTTAGTGTATATTTAAAATAAATAATGTGAACGTCTTGTTGGAGCAGTTCCTAAGTGACATGTTTCTGTGTGTGTGCTGTGTTTTTCAGGGTTGGTTCCATCTGCTGTGCTGATTATGACCAAGCGTTAGTGAGGACTGCTTTTTTGTCTCTCGAGTCTTAACGCACCCTGTCCAGCCGTACTCCACGTTACAACCCCATTCAGTCCCAACAAACCCGCACACATCATGATACCCACATATACAACGCAGGGCCCACACACACATATCCACAAACGTGAATATACTCACATTCACCGACAGGCTCTACACATTACGTCTACACATGCTGTCTACACCTCTGTATATCCCACACGCGTACCCATCCACAACAACAACAACGGCCGCCATTCGACACTCAGTGACGGTGACATGACCACAGCGCTTGGTATTGGCTCGTTGCACTTTGAGGCCATGTGAATTGTGTCCCATGGCTCAACGGTAGGAGGTCTCGGGGCAGACCTCAATCAAGATCCAGATAATTTGTTTAACACACACACATACATTCCCTTGCACCTGCACATATCTCAATACACCCCACTAAACACCACATACGCACACCCTACACACAACCCTATCTAATAATTGCATGGGTTTGTGAATCTGGCTGCCCATGTGACTATCGAAATTTCTCCGTGCTGCACTGATCACTACTCCCAAGTTTTACCTTTAAAAAAATTGGGGCTTTAAAAAAGAAATTTGTGCTGAGTTTTGAGATATTTTTTTGAGGTTATTTTCAGCTGACGCTTTTTTCACAAGTGGCGACAAAACGTCTCCTCCCCCCACCAGAGTCAACAGAGGTCACGTCTTCCATGGCTTGGGCAGAGGGGGCGGCGTTCGTTGTGGGAAGCGGGGTGTGAGGGAGAGCAGGGACCTCTACGGTTGGCACCTCCTGAATGACAAAATAGCCAGAACTCGCAGGAATAAGAATATCGTGTTGTGTCAGAATAGTGGAGAACTACACGGAGATGCATCGTCTAAAACGGTGGTTTTTTTTATGCGAGTGACAAAAACCGGGACATTTAATGTCAATGTGGGAAGCCTCGGAGATATTCGCAGGACAGCGACCAACAAAAAAGGCATGTCCTGGGAAAACCGGGACAGGTGGCAACCTCAGAAGGGTAAATATAAGCGAGTGTAATGGAGAGGGGGGTGGTGGAAGCTGGGGTTATGCGATCGATGGCGAGGTACACAGCCACGTGTCTGCTCGAGCCACTCTGTGATACATCACCTGCATGCCGAGTTTTATCCCAAGGAGTTTTTATTTTCTTTTCTCGTTGATGGAAAGTTTCTTTATATATATAAAAAAACACTGAGCTCGTGGGGTACAGTGTTTACGCTGATGCGAGGTGCTCACATGAAACGCGAATTGGAATGCGCATTCAACGCGGCGCGACTAAGTTAATGGGATACGAGAGCGGCACTGCTGACTCGGTCATTCCAGAATCTATTCATCTTCGGCATCGCGTGTGCATCGGGCTCGTTTGCATCGGTGTCCTTCAACCTTGGTGATGCCGCGGTGATTAATTTGGCTTCATCAAGTGTACCGAGTTGCTGCTCGGTAAACAATTATTACATTCAAAAAGCCCATTATTAAATCCGGTTTTGCATTTTACTTTTACTAAATTCAAGCTCGGAAAACTATCAATTTGACCGTCGTGAAATGAACGTTACTATCGGTGGCAGGGCGGGTTGGAAAGTGCGTCGGGTAGCTCAGATATCCGCTTCCCGCAGGTCGGTGGTGCCTCGCATGAAGAGTCGCACAGCTCTGCCAGAGCCCAAAATTGAGCATCCGGATTCAAATTGGGAAGATTTTTTCTTGCAATCATTGCAGGCTGGTAGCATTATGCCCAATGTTTTGTTTAGTCTTACGTAACCCGCCATACAATGTGAGAAATGTTCATTCGCTTGCCGCATTAACACAACCGGTTGAACAACGCCGATTTAAATGACCGTGATCCTCGTCCTCGTACCCCTGCCATCATGAACAATGTGTGCAGCCGGTGGCGATGGTGAACTCCATCATGGAGCAATTAAAGTTTTTAATGAGAAGCGACTGGAGGAGTGAGTTGTTGAATTACTGAACTCTGTGATTTATCCATTGTGCGAGAAATAATCCAGTTTAACTTGGATCTGGTAAGCAGTGCAAGGTTGACATGGAGGAGTTGATCACATTACAAGATTTTCAGCTGGTGTGGGACACTAGGAAGGCCCAGTTGAGAGCTGTTTGCTTTTTGGTTATGGAATTTCTTTAACCGTGACTTTTGTTAAAGGACGTAACATAAATAAAGAACACAAACAAGTGAGATAGATTCGTGTTCGTGCCAACAACATTGACACTTGACAAACTTACATCGAGCAGTGCATTGAACTTGGCAAAGGAAACATTTTACTTGGAATCAATCATATACCTATTTTTTTTATTTAAAGCTTTCGTGACTGCAGGGATTCATGTTCTTGGTTCTTTCAGTAAAGTCACGTAGAAGGGAAATAATATTGTTGAATTTTTATTATTTTATTATTTCCCTTCTATGTGACTTTACCGAAAGAACCAATAATATGATATACCTATTAGTAGGGAGATGTCATTCTATGATCAGTCGGGCTGCATGCCCATTTTCTTTTTGAGAAAGATGTCCCATTATTTTCGTGTCCCGGCTGCAAACTATAATTAGACGTTTTTCTTTTGTATACCTCATTAATTTCCATTGAGGTCACCCATTTTACCCCGATTTAAAATTTGGTTGATTTCTGCACGCATCTTGGCCGACTGCATCTTCCTGGATTATTGTTGAAGCATAATGGAACGAGCGTTAACTTGTGGCTGGTGAGGTGAGCCTTCATGTTAACTGGGCAAGTATGAGAATTACTAGCTAGGGAATCTCATACATTCTATGTATCACCCCCAAAAAAACAATCGATTGCTACATTATATTGGATCCATATTCTTAGGTTTTTTTTCGGTAAAGTCACGTAGGTAAAAAAAATGTAAATTAATAAAAGTTAAATGAAACAAAATACATAAAAAAATATATATATTTTACTTTTATTAATTTAAATGTTTTTATCTACGTGACTTTACCGAAATTTTAATTAATAAAAGTTAAATAAAACAAAATAATTTTTTTATTTGATTTATTTTACTTTTATTAATTTAAATGTTTTACCTACGTGACTTTACCGAAAAAAAAACCCTAAGAATATGAATCCTTGCAGTCACGAAAGCTTCAAATCTAGAATATATTGGATCCCTTCTACCAGCAGAGACATTGCCAAGTCATTGCATGGCTACGCCTTTGCATTCCTCTAAATGTAATCAACAGTTCAAGACCAGATGCCAATGGGCCAGAGACAATTAGCACCGCGGATAGGTAGCCAAACTTTAGTCGGACACGTGAACAATTAGAGTGAATTACGGTACTTGATCACTCCGCTCATGTCAAATGATTATCACATAATTCACTATGATTGGCCATGGAAGACGAGTTTGTAATCGGTAACGTGAGGCCAACTCAGGTGACTCCGACAGCGAGAGATCGGCTCTGGGCTCGTGGACTAAAGGGAGACCCAAACATCGCACCTCCTTGCTGTGAAATTCATCATCGAAGACACCCGTGTGACCACCAAACCACAGGCCGATGGCGCACATCTCTTTCGTAAATGGAAAATTAAAAGAAAAGCCACAGTGCTGGTTCCTGAGTAGCCATGCACCCCAAACTACGGACTGTACAGAAAGCCAGTGTGGGCTGCGCTCCCTTCAACTGATCCTGAACCTATTGCTGCCAAAATAACAGAAAAGCGAAGTTTTGCAAGTGGGATTATGAATCGTGGCGACTGCACACTGAGTTTAAAGGTCAGCCAGTGTTCGCTCAGACGTGCGTTGCCGGAGCTCACTGCGAAAATGTTCCACGTGATAAGCCACTTCGTTGAGCTATCATTTGTGGCCATGTCTCTTCTGAAAAGTAATCGAACAGCTCAGTGAGCCTTTGCCTGATAAAATGTTGTATTTGTCGATATTTAAAAATGATTTGTTTACCTTTCCGATACTTTGCACTCCTATCGTGTTGTATTGTTTTTCAGTTGTAACGTTCTGACCTGCGCCTGCTGGACATGTGTGTGAAAAGAGCTTTTTAGCTCATCGGATTCCTCCAGTTTTAATAATCCTTCCCCATTCCCAGCGAGACGCTCTGCACCGAGTCATTGTGACGTCACCCACATTTCGATGGGCGGGATCACGGTGACGACACCGTTGGCACTATGGGGCGGGGCGTTTATGGGCCGCTCTTCTGATTGGTCCTCGCCGGAACGCGCGCACGTGCAATCGCCACGAATGGTCAGCGTCCCTCCGCCACGTGGTGCTCGCGGTGACCAATGAGGAGAAGGCGTACGCGGAGCCGAGCCCGTTCCCCCCGCCCACAATCGTTGAAGCCCGAGCCGCCATCTTTCGTGGGGTGGGGGTGGGGAATCCGGGTCACGCGGTACGAGCAGTGACGTCATTGCTACAAACGCGGGGCACGTGCTGTGACGTCACCGCGGTCACGGGATACGTTCCGTGACGTCAGCGCAACCACGCGGTCGGTAGCCGTGACGTCATCGCAGCCACGCGCTGTCCTTACGCGTTCCTCAATCAGACACCGCGTGGCCTTAACAAGGGGGATAAATAAGTTGTATAATAGGCGACGTTTCGGGCGATGGTCCTTCATAACACATCGAGATGCCAGAGAGAGTGGGATACTACGACTGGGAGACTGCACCTGTTAACACTTGGTGGGGGCTGATGAAAATTACATTAAACATACAGTTTAGATAAGCAGGCAGTGTCTCGTATAAAAATAAAAAGTATAAATGTTTACGCATCCTATCGGCCGCTCTAGGGATTGTTTCATATCGGCAACGTGGATTCAGTCCAGGACAAGTTAAACTCGGGGCCGATTTGAACATTCAGTGCCTCGTCGGCAGAGGCAATGCTGCTGAAATGATTCACTCCCACAAAGCAAGTGGGGTCGATGGTATGTGCTATTAAATAAATAAAACTTTTATATTTCACGTCGGAGGGACGGAAACGTTACGGAAAAGCTGTTGATCGTGTTGTTTTAGTTTTATGTTCTCCATAGCAACCGTAATGATAATAGCCGTGGGGGGGGGGGGGGGTTGGTGTGCCGGGAACATCCCTCACGTAAGATGGTGGCCCAAGGCGTCACGGCTCGCAGGGGGGTGGGGCTTGGGGGGTGGGGCTCAAGGGGGGTGGGGCTCGGGGGGGGGGGCTCGAGGGGGTGGGGCTCGAGGGGTGGGGCTCAAGGGGGGTGGGGCTCGAGGGGGGGGGGGGCTCGAGGGGGGGTGGGGCTCGAGGGGTGGGGGCTCAGGGGTGGGGCTCAAGGGGGGGGGGCTCGAGGGGAGGTGGGGCTTAGGGGGGTGGGGCTCGAGGGGGAGGGGCTCGGGGGGTGGGGCTCGAGGGGGGGGGGCTCGAGGGGAGGTGGGCTTAGGGGGGTGGGGCTCGAGGGGGAGGGGCTCGGGGGGTGGGGCTCGAGGGGGGGGGCTCGAGGAGAGGTGGGGCTTAGGGGGGTGGGGCTCGAGGGGGAGGGGCTTAGGGGTGGGGCTCGAGGGGGAGGGGCTTAGGGGGTGGGGCCGGGGAGGCGTGGAGAGTCACGGGGCCCCTCTCCTGACCCCGCCGCGATCCACTCGCATTGACTCGCTCCTCCTCGTCTCTGGCCGCCCTCACTCCGGGGGGCTCCAGCTGCAGGCGGCAGGCAGTCTTCTTCCTCCACGGCTCGACCCCGGGGGGGAGCTGCCCGGGTCGCTCAGCCGCAGTTGAGGCCCCCCACCTTGTTCCCCAGGGCCCTCCTCCTCTCACCTCCCAGTGTGATCCTCGTCCCATTGGGTTAACTTGAGTTCCCCCCCACGCCCCCCATGCTCTCTCCTCACCTTCCCTAGGCTGCCTTGCCTCGCTCCCCGACGCTCCCCACCGCCACCCCCTGTCACCCCCTGCCACCCCCTGTCACCCCCCGTCACCGCCTGCGTGCCCGCGGCTCCTGCACGCGGCTCCTGCCGGCGTCTGCAGGGATGGCGGTGAGAGCGGCGTGGCGCTGGCTGCAGGACCCCTGCGTCGTTGCGAGGTTCCAGAAGCTGTGCGGCTTGGAGCAGCAGGAGGATGCGGCTGTAGCGGCAGCGGTGGTGGCTCCGTGCGAGGAGGGGGAGACGCGGAGCAACAACGGCGGTGACCACCTCGACCACGACTGTGACGGCCACGAGCAGCAGCAGCGGCGGCGTTCCACTGAGCGGTGCTGTAATGGGCTCGCGGCAGGAGCTGACGACGATGATGATGATGACAACGACGACAAGGTGACGGTGACAACGACGACGATGACGAACGGGACCTCGAACAGGGACCTCGCCTCGAGTCGCAAGGCGCGGCACCGCCGCCCTGGAGCGACTCCGGATCACGGGGACCCACAGCCGCCACGCCGCGGACCCAACAGCTCCACCACCACCTACCACCACCACCACCACCTCCACCACCATAACGGATCAGCTCCACCAAGAGCCCAGCCGCTCGTCCATCATGGAACTCCCGCGCCGGAGGAACTCCCTCTCGCAGGAGGTGCACACCCCGCAAGGGTTCGTGGTGAGGAGGAGGGCCCTGCACTACCTGTTCGTGCTGGGCACGGAGCTGGGCAACGAGACCTTCTACATCACATTCTTCCCATTCCTCTTCTGGAACGTGGACGCGCTGGTGGCGCGCAGGATCATCATGGTGTGGGTCTGGGTCATGTTCCTGGGCCAGAGCGCCAAGGACTTGCTGAGGTGGCCGCGGCCTGCCTCGCCGCCCGTCATCAAGGTGGAGGTGTTCTACGACTCGGAGTACGGGATGCCCTCCACGCACGCCATGTCCGGCACGGCGCTGCCCTTCGCTATCTTCGCGCTCACGCTGGGTCGGTTCGAGGTGAGTGAGAGATGGGGACACGGTCCGGGGGTGGTGGGGGTGCTGCTGCTGCTGGAGGCCAGGGCCATGAACCGTCAGATTTGAGGACCGCTTGGTTTGATGGTTGCAAGATACGAGGAGGTGGTTCGATTTTGAGGACTTTGTGAGATTTCGCGGACCTCCATCTTTCAGGATCTCCGGAGGTTGAGAATCCTCAGGTTTTGAGGATCTCGGTGCGTCAAACCCTCCAGATTTCATGACTTCGAGATATGTTTAAATTGATCTCCATGTACGGTTGTAGGTGCTGTTGTGCTACGAGTTTATAGAACCCAATGAAAGTACCCACCCACGTGGCACCACCAGCTCAAGGGCAGCTGTACACGATGAGCCAGCTTTTTTATTTTTTAAACTCGCGTCGTGCTTTCAATTGTTCCTGTTATTGATGAGGGAGGATGCGACAGCCCCTTCTACCAAAGAGCCCTGTCCTTGATTGGAGCATGTGGCCAGGGATAAACGTCGTCCGTGTAATCGTGTTCATGTTTTGTGTTTCGTTTGTGCGTCTCCCGCACCTCCGATTAGCACGGTTTAGCTAGGCACGGTGTGAAATAAGTTCAGCATCACACACACACATAGATGCGTCGTCACAGCGGGTTGCTGTTGGCGAGAAACTCTTGCGGTCCATTCTAGATTTGAAGCTTTCGTGACTGCAAGGATTCATATTCTTAGGTTTTTTCGGTAAAATCACGTAGGTAAAAAATAAAAATTAATAAAAGTAAAATAAAAATCACGACGTTTTTTACCTACGTGACTTTACCGAAAAAACCTAAGAATATGAATTCTTGCGGTCCACACAGGATACACACACACACACGAGGGGGATGATCGTGGCCAGCACCACTCACGCCCGACCGCCGTTGTCTCTCCCACGAGTGGCCAGTTGCAGAAGGTACCAGGACTCCGAGCTTCTTATTTCAGGCCGAGTGTGTAAGAGCAGACATTTACTCGCAATTGGAGACTGCACTTTACACATCGCCAACATCATCAGGCCAAGCGACAGGTCAGAAGGGGAGTGAAAACAAGGCGGACCCAGCTTTCAACTGAGTTATTCGCAGTCCGATTAGAACATATTTTCTGAAAATTATATTGTAGAAACGAAGGCACTTTAAACACTATCTTAAACGCCTTGAAGGACTTTGACATGAACGGTTTTGAATTGATAAAGGAATTTTGTTTACTAGATTTACTCTTTTGGCATGTACTCGATAGATCACATGCGTTGTTTGTGTCTGTGTACACAGTGCGGTATGTTTATACGTGGGTATTTCGGTGTACATATTTCCAATTCCTCGCCCGCATGCACAGAAACATCACCTCGCGTATCGTCAGGGTCAAGCGGCGGTGACGTTTGAAATTTGACATCTCTGTGTCTAAGCCTTCCGATCCCTTGCACGGTCTAAATCTTGGCAAGTAGCTGCCGCGATGTGGTGGCCCCATATGCCGCACTTGTGATCCAGAGGTCTATGGTCCCAGCGCGGAAGTTAAAACTACGGGGGGAAAATTTCGATGTAAAGCTTTCGTGACTGCAGGGATTCATCTTCTTGGTTCTTTCGGTAAAGTAACGTAGAAGGGAAGTAATAAAATAATAAAAATAAAACAGACAGCGTCTCCCCCACAGACCTGGTCTTCACCTGAGGACGGCTGCTTGCGTTGTGGCCGAAACGTCGTGAGAATTATTTTATTATGTTTTATTTTTATTATTTTATTACTTCCCTTCTACGTGACTTTACCGAAAGAACCAAGAAAACGGAGGGCAAGTTTCTGAAATCTCCCTGGCAACCGGTCCACCCGGTGGTGTAAGTGGATGCATCACATATTCTTGGTTCTTTCGGTAAAGTCACGAAGGGAAATAATAAAAATATAAACAATAAAATTCTCACGACGTTTCGACTGCAACACAAGCAATCATCATCAGGTGTGAAATCCACAGCAAGAAAATTTGAAAAAATATATATTTCTGTGGATCTCACACCTGATGATGATTGCTTGTGTTGCAGTCGAAACGTCGTAAGAATTTGTATTGTTTTATATTTGTATTATTTTATTATTTCCTTTCTACGTGACTTTACCGAAAGAACCAAGAATATGAATCCCTGCAGTCACGAAAGCTTTAAATCAGGATGCACCACAGTTAGTCTATGACCGACGGAGCACGTATGGTGGGGTAAGTGTGGTGGGCGCTTTCGCCTCTTGCGAGAACATCTGGCCAGTGTGGAAGAGTTAGGCCAAAAATAGCCTCGAAAGGTGTTTTTTACATCCCCTCTCCAAGTGGAGGCCCTTCCGTCAGCAGTGGCGTAAGCTTGCAAATGCAGGGCTGCACCTTTACCTGTACCGTGTGGGTTTATTACTCACCGTGTGCTGCCTATTGTCTCCTCCGATGGAGCGGCCCCAAGGGGCAGCTTCTGTGTTTGGTTTGCCGCTCCGCTTTTGTGCCAGAGAGGCCCACTTGGTTTGCTTACTCCGCCTGCCGCACCACCAGCTGCGGCGTTGACATAAGAGGCTGGGCGTGAAGCAAAATTCAACAGCCACGGGTTTTTCTTTGCTCAGTCAACCGAGCAGCCTCGAGTCACCTTCTCGTACATCTGGTTTCACTCCAACTCCCTCTCTTCTACAGTAGCATGGACATGGGGTGGCTTTAGCCCAGTGCTTAGCCCAAATGCTGCCCCAACTTAAATGATAGGTTAAACCAGGCCAGTATTGTAGCTTTAGCCCAGACCATGGGCACATAGATACTCGGTTAAACTCGACTATGATTGTGGCTGTAGCCCAAAACCTAGCACAAACACAGACCAAGGTAACATGCTCTGCTAAACCAGGCCAGGGTTATAGTTTTGGCTCAGATGTTGGGCTGAACCTTGACATTCATATGCTAAATTAAGCCAGGCGACAGTTGTGGCTTTAGCTTAGACCCTGTCTCAAACGCAGACCTAGTCCAACACAAAGGTAAACTGGGCTAGAACTATAGTTACAAGCAGGGCTTAATGTCATCCAGCTCACCAAATCTATTATACGTCCGGCTATGGCTGTGACTATTAATCACATGCCTACTCCAGTCTATCAGTGCCCCAGAGAATATTTCGTGTCACATTACGGGCTGATAACAAACCTTGCCCTCCCGCCGTGTGAATTCGACCTTTCCGTTACATTCGGCCACGTGCTCAATGGCAGAGTCAAGATTTTCAGGTGGGGGGCAACCCCTCCAGCAATGAAAAATGATAGGGGAGTTGTTAGTAAGTGAGGACTTGTCCCTTGCTTTTTAATTGACGCGTGTGGGGCGATGGCGCAGCCATCGATCGAGGGTCGAATTCGAACCGCATTGTGCGATCGGCATCGCGCTCGCTGAAGGTGAATGCATTCAGGGAAGTCGTGTACTGGATACGCAACTGCGCACAATTTTGTGAGTCACTTATAACTGCTTTGCCGTTACTTATTGCCAATTATGGACTCAGACTATCGTCCTATCATCTCATAGAGTCCCTGGCACGTAATAATATGCTACACAGTGGCAGTGGTGGTCGCAAAATGCCGATTTATTACTAATAAACCCAAATGATCATTTCGAAATTAGGGATTTCGATCGGATCATTGGGGGGGCACGTGCCACCCCCCCCACTGGCTCTGCCAGTGGCCACGTGTGGTTCAAAGGTCGCATGTGCCACTCCGTGGGGTCGTCTACTGTCATGAAACCTTAAGCACGGACGCGAGAATCGCGCTCATCACGTGACTGCGTCGGATTCCCCTTGTGACCATTGGTGTTAATCCCAGCGCTGCAGCGGTGGCGGGTGTAAGTTGTGCTGCAGCTGAGCGGCGTTGATTAGTGTAATGAACATCTCAATGCAGCTCGGACTCCATGTCATCTGGGTCTGTCTGCATGATACCACGTCCAGTATATCTGTCGCTATGAACTATAGCTACGAGCCGCGTGCTACCTACTCCAGTATACTAGCAGCCCATAACAGATTTCCGCATCTGGCACACAACATCCAGTATACCCCTCGCGATGGGCTGTAGTGACTTGCTACATGCCGCCTGACCTACTCCCATCTCCCACTGTCCCGGAAATTTCTGAGTAAGAACATAAACCCTGAATGCAGCTGCATCTCAAGTCACTGTCACGAGTGACCCTCAGACTTTATCATTTCAACTGGTAATCCCATTGAGCCAAACGGCTATTTTACAAGGACATTCAGCCCAAGATGCTTGACAGAATCAGGCTGCTTTTATTTCTATTTCGTGAGAACGGATGCTGGATTTTAATGTAGCTTTTTATTGCTCAAATGGGTGTTGCTCCAGTGAAAATGTTTTTTAAAAAATAAATTAGATACCACCTTCAACCAATTCATGAACACTGTGGTTTCAGTTAGAGTCTCAGCCCATGGCTAACACCCGTGGCGAGTGATATCTGAGCCAGTCCTGGACTCGCCTCACTTCACCAGCCCGCACTGACCAGTTTGGTGAAGTATGGTCAAGCAACCTCCATGACCAAAAAACCCCCATGAAAGACCTCCATTGAATATGGGTTGAGAAACATTTTTTAAATAAATAAGACGGCAAAATATCGTGTTTGTTTTTTCTAAGCGAGTAATTTATTTTGCTCAGAAATAACTGGAGTTCAACGATAACCTTGTTACATATGAATCATCGCCGGGATTTCATAACAGGAACAAGACGTGGAAAACATTTAATTTCTGTGGGAAGGAAGAGACTAGGGAAGCTGTGGCACAGAGCGGTGCAACGCAGGGCCTGGCAGCTCGGCGCAAGTCACATGACGCCCCGTGACTCGGGCGCTGAGATTACCACGTGCAGAACGTTATAATAAAACCACACTCGAATAGATGCACACTGCATACATGCAGATATGCACTGCATTGATAAACAGATATACACTGATGCATAGAAAGAAGCACTGACACATGAACACGCACAACAGCCGCCGTTCACCACTAAGTGGTAGTGACGTCACC